AAGCCATATTATTGGATCTTATTAAAAGACAAAAATTTGAAAAAGAGTATGTTGTTGACAATCTGCTTCAGCAAAATGGCCATGAAGTATTACGTCTACCTCCCTATTACTGCCTTTTTAACCCGATTGAGTTGGTCTGGGCTGCTTTTAAAAAAAAAGTAAGAAAACATAATCAGACCCCTCAATTAAGTGAATCGCTATTGGCCACAATAAGAGATGCAGTATCTCATATTGCTGCCACAGACCTATGGAAGCAGTGTTCTAGGCATATTATTGAAAAAGAAAATGAATATTGTGTTTTGCCTCCTGTAAATCCCGTTGTAATTCCTCTACAAGATGACTCTAACGACAGCTCCGAAGGGGAGGATGATATATAAATACCTATAATGTAAGTCTATATATACCTTTTTATATACCTACCTGCTATGTAAATATTTGCCTATGTCAAACGTTGGAAATCTGTAATTTTTCCATTTCTAAACTTTCAGTCAACATAAATTAAACTCCCAATATAAGTATTTCTTATCCCAAATCAAAAAAATAAGAAGATAGTAAAATCCATTTATTGTTATATAAAAACATTATTATTATCGTTCTAAATAAATGCCGCACGCCTAGGGTACGTCATGAAATTACAAAGGACGCGCCGACCAAAGGTTTTTATGCTATTTCAAGTGACTTCAGATACACCATACGAATGAAACTTTTTGATTGCTACTTTTTAGACACTACATGATGGTTTTTTGAAATTTAGTGCCCGATGGTTCATTAGGTATTCATTGCAAACAAATCCCTGACTTAACGTAAATACGAGTACCTGTCATCGAGTATTTTTATTACCTTATTACCGTCAAAGATGCTAGGCGGTCATTTTAGCAATAAAGAAAAGCTCGACATGCTGACATTCTACATTTTCTGCTACAAAAATTCTAATATCACAGAAATGGAACATTTCTCGAAAGAAGACAGCCAAGTCCATTTTATTAGAGCTGGCTCGATATTTAAATGAATATGCCTCATACGTCTCGAAAAAAGGAATCTTCAGATGCAACTCAGCATATTGTTTTGCAAGCAGTTGCTGAGAACTCTGAGTAACCAACTAGGCAAATTGAGAAAAATATAGTACTGGCCAAATCCACAACCCAATTTATTTTGCGTAAAAACTGATATCGCCCCTATAAGTTTATGATTTGCCAAAGACCTAGAGCAGGGGATAGCGAACGGCGCCAGCCTTTTTGTGAGTAGTATACACGAACGTGTGAAAAATATTTCAATCTCTCTTTCGATCGCCGCAACACTCATTCATGGGCAATCTAGGCATCAATTCAATCGATTTTAGTATTAGATCTATTTATTTACCACAACTCATTAACTGCAGAGCGGTACCTTCAAGTGTTGCAACATGACCTAGAAGACCGCCTGGATGATTTACCTTTGGCACAGGTTAATAGCTCTTGGTTTCAACAAGACGGTGCTCCTCCACATAACTCCAAAGTATCGTTCTGGACTTTTTTGTTTTCGGTTTTATTAAAATGTTTAATAATATATAGTCAACGCCAAACAAAGTGGCGTGCACGTCATCACGATAAAAATTCCCCGACCTAATGCCTAGGTTTCTATCACAAACAATTGCTCTATTGCAGTTTCATATTAATGTAATATATATAAATTGTAAAATGGTCATTACTCTCTTATTATGGTTAATAGTCATATAAACATTGTTATTAAAATATCACATAAGTTGCTTTCTGATAAATTTAGACGCATTATGCGAAATAAAATGTTTTGCAAACGCTCCAATCACTTATCGACATGTAAACGCACTAAACCGATTTCGCAGCGTTGACACATTGTCACCTTGAAACTTATTTAAACTGGGAACTGACATTTGTATTAATTTTGACACTGAATCAATTTGTGGCATTTCAAATCTTCATAAATCCTTTGGCCCCGCATACTGTAAATCAACAACTGTTTGTTTCAAAACAAAATTATTCATTTTACGAGTAGATAAAGGCAATTTTGGTATATAAAGATGCCCAAACAGTTAAATAGTCGGTGTAAGGAACTCGTGGCCTCGTTAATGCACTACTTTGAGCAAGAAACGGACAACAACGGGCCTTTGTTGCCTTTAAATGCTGTTCAAGAGGTAGGTTACTAATAATTATATGTAATGTATATTAATAATAGTGAAATTTTATTTCATTTTTTGTAGCGTGTTGCTGCTGCTTTAAAAATTAGTTTAAGGACAGTTAGTCGTATTTCCGAGGGTGTGACAAGTGATGCAAATTTAGAATCGCCCAAGAAAAAGCGGAGTTATATTAAACGTGTAATCAACACAGCGACATTGGATACAAGTGCCATTCGAGAAGTGATCTATAATATGTATCACAAAAGTAAGATCTTATTATAATAACTTATCAGAAATTTGCATTAATTTGTTAACTAAATTATAATGTCATATTACACATGGTTTCAGAAGAACAAGTTACGATACAAACTTTATGGTCTCGATTAAGAGATAGGGCATTATTTGATGGTAGTGCCACGTCTTTAAGGCGGTTGCTTAGAGATCTTGGATTTAAGTGGCTTAAGGACAATCCGCGACGAGGGCTCATGGAACTACCAAGTATAGCTTTGAAAAGGGTGGAATTTCTAAGGCAATACAATCAAGCCAAGGTTGAGGCCTTATACCAGTTTGTCTTCCTCGATGAAACTTGGATATTTCAAAATGGGACCATAGGTCGCTCTTGGCAAAATGGAAACCAAAAAAGCGTGAATGCTATTAAAACAGATGGTAAAAGGTATGTACTTTTACACAATTTGCACTATAAAATTTAAAACTAATATATTTTAGATACATTATATTACATGCTGGAAATGAAAATGGGTTTATTGAGGGTAGTGAAGCGATATTTTCTTCGAAAACAAAATTGAGCGATTACCATGGAGAGATGAACCAGGACAATTTTTTGAAATGGTTTCAACATCAGTTATTAGAAAAATTGGAGAGTCCATCTATGATTATACTGGATAACGCCGCTTATCACAGCATGATATTGAACAAAGTGCCCAACAGTGCATGGACAAAAAAAAAATATCCAAGACTGGTTGACAAATCAAAACATACCATTTTTAAACACAATGTTTAAAACAGAGCTATTGAGTATTGTTGCTCGGTACATAATGCTTCTTAATTATATATATTTTGGTCGACAGTTTATATTTCTTTTGTTTATTCCTATTCTTAAAATAACTGATTTTTTAGAAACAAACCACCTAAAATATACGTGATTGATGAATTGGCGGAACAACATGGGCACAAAGTTCTTCGTCTGTCTCCTTACCATTGTATATTTAACCCTATTGAGTTAATTTGGGGCATAGCAAAAGGTTACTATAACAGACATATTGGTAGAGATGGTAACAGTGAAAAAGACTGTTTGGATATGTGGAACGAGGCTCTACAAACGGTTACCCCAGACATGTGGAAAAATAGTGTTCGACATACTGAGCAAGAAATTTTTAAATGGTATGAAAGAGAACGAATTTTTGATCGACCAGACATCGAACCTTTAATAATTAACTTTGAGAGTGATGAAGATTCAGATTCAGACAGCGCTGAAGAAAGAAACTCCGACTAACTTTATTGTACAGAAAAAGCTTACACCAGTAGCTTATCTAATTTTAGAATGCATTTTTCTGTATGAATTCTGTAAAATAAATACCATGCATAAAATTTGGAGGACCCCATTTGGATTTTTATTCAGTACCTTTAAGCTATCAATTAAATATGGTAGTTTCATAGTGTCATCTGATCAATAATTGTCATACTTAATGATTATGCAAGTACAGATCTATAATTTTATTATACTATTATTGTTGTTCTCATTTGAGGTTAATATTGCTTATAAACCTAGATATGTAAATAATAAATTTTATTATTTTACAAAAAGTTTGGCAACAATGTAAATTTTTCGACACACCCACCTTGATGACGTGCACGCCACTTTGTTTGGCGTTGACTATAGTTTCATAGTTTATAGTTTTTGTTTTTTGAGAGAATGTAGTTATGCAATGAATATTTTTTGTGTTTTTCGCATGATTAAGAATTTTGTTTTTGATTTACATTCAGTTTTATGCTTTATAGAATTCGTAACATATTTCTTATGGTTATTTTTTCATAAAGATGTATTTTTTGTTGATTTTTTGTCTGACATTGTTATGTAGAAAAGTCTGTGATAGATTATATTATTATGCTTCAAAATAAAATAAAAATGCATGTATTTTCTACAGAAATTACTGTAACAAATTCATACGTCTGCATATGTTCATGCTTTAAATTTTAAATCATTATAACACTTCAGTACGTGACACTGAGAATTTACTTTCCATTTTACCCCTCCCAGACCGAAATCCTGGGAGCGCCACTGATATTAGGTGGTGTAATATTCCGAATTTCAGTGTAATATTTGTAATGTTCAATAAAAAGTGTGAAAAATGAAAATACACTGGTTGGTGTTCTCCTCTGGGTATTTGCCATAAGGGATACATAGTAAATCGTGTGCGTATGCGACGAATTTCCGTTCTAAATTAGTAGTGCGGCGTGACACAATTTCGCAAAAACAAGCTTGCATTCAAAAATAAGCTTAATGTGCTTTTTTTATGTGGAGACTTCAATAGTAGCACAGACAACAAACGCCAAATTTTCAAAATATCTTGTGTATCTGTAATCTGAAACGAAACGTTCTAGGGTAAATTTCGGACCATCTGAAAAATAAAGTGGATGGTGGTTTCTCGAAAACGAATCGTACTTAAAATAAAAACGATTTGGCCAAATTTTAATTTTTCCCAAATATCCATGAAATTAAAATTTACAAGTTTTTACAGCCACTTCCTAGTTTAACCTAGGCTGTATTGCGGTATTTAGCTCCCCATACATAGGGTCCTTACCTTGGACGAAGTTAAATGAAAAGTGAACATCTAAAAATGTAACATACCTTTTGACAACTGAAGAATTCCTTGGAAGAATCGTGTCACTCTCTGGATCGACCACGTAGAACCAAACATCCGTTGCTTCAGGATCAACCTCTAAAGTTCCATTGCCTCCGATGTATTCTCGTTGCGTCAATTTTTCTATGCCTACTATCAATCCTGACTGTTCCTGAATTATTCTGGCTATATCTTCAAGCTTACTTTGTACCTATGGTGGAGAAAAAAAAATACGTATTTTAAATACTAAACAAAATACTTTCGTATGTAGCAATTTAGTAATAATGCAACTCAAAATCTACAAAAACAAAGGTTTTCACAGCGTATACACTAACTTGATATATACACCAAATACGATAAGCTTGAAAAATAGATGAAGTAGTTAAGAAAAGGGTTTATATTCACCATATCTGGTTTAGCATCTCCTATAACCAAAATCATCCTATTGATCGATGATATCAGATTCACTATGACTTCGGTTTCTATATCAAAAAAGTCACTGGTCGAGTTTGGATTATCCCGGGCTTTAGCTGTAAGTTTGAAAGGTAACGCTTCTTCGTCTATGTTTTGAAACGATTTCTTCGTTTTTATAACACCTGTTAAAGAAGAAGATAGGTAAATGATTGCGATATGAAAAAACATTTGTCATATTTTTAGAGCGAAAGGTTTATCCTAGAATAACAGACAAACAAATTAATGTTTTCCAAAGTAGAAGAGTTTAGGTTTGTATGCGATTTGTACAAGCATTCGAATCAATATATCTCAAAAACGAATGGACTTTCAAAAGCGTATGAACGATGGTTTTAAAAAAGCGATTTTGCTGTTAGTGTTACAACATTTCAAGGTCATCCTGATGACATTCGCAGAGCGACGAATCTTGTTCATGCAGTAAGAAATGCTCCAACGAGACCCTTCACAGAGACCTCGACAACTTCCTAAATTAATTTTTGTATTAATTTAAATTAACCGAATACCAGTTAAAAATAGAAAGGCATCCCTTTAACCTGCGCACTTCACCCTCATTACTCTTCCCTCTTCCTTCCTTTCTTTCTACGATACTTCAACAAAGAGCGAAGGTCCCACGGACCGCCCTGACGGACAATGACGAATAGAGAATAGAACATTTCAAGGCTCTTTATCAACTCTGGAAATGTTTTTCTCGATCTCCAAATTATAACTTCGACACCCTGTATCAGGGTGAAGGTTGGGGGGCACTTTAGGTCCCATTCCATCCTAGAAATGCTGCCATTTTTTGATACATCGTTCAAGAACTTCATTCGTATTGAAAAAGATGTATTTTTGGGAAAAGGTCATTCGAAAAAATCTTGTCAAACATTTGGAGCACACGTTTAAAGAAGAAAGTTTGGCATTCGGTTTTAGTAACAGACGACAAGTAACGTAGGCGAGGCATAGGATTAGGTTATACGTTTTCAATAGATCTAAAAATAGCCGTAGCTCTCGTACTTCGTGACTTCACTAAAGCATTTCTTGTATTTAAATGCTGTTACTATGGTTTTTCTAAAAAGCCTCTTTCGTATATTCAAACCGACGTTTAAAATCGGTTTCAAAAGGTGCCTCTAAGTCGACAGTTCTCTACCGCACAAAAAATTTGTTCGGGAGTACCACAGGGATCAGCGTTAGGACCCCTGAAATCTTCATTATATATCTCAGGTTTAGAAACAGATGAAATCATGTAGCAGACAATTTTTTACAGACAATACCCAGATTTTCTGTTTATTTAGGATCAATGGCCTGGAAGCAGCTATAATCTTCGTTTGAATACTTCAAAGACATATATATATATATAAATAAAAGAAAAAAGTGAAAGATATTCTACTTTATCAGCAGCGCAATCTGATGTAACCCATAAGTGTCAATTAACTTTGTTTTCTTTATACCTTCACATTGATTACACTTTATTTTGTCGTTATTGTATCCAGGTATTAATTTTCAACGAGTTTTTAGTTTATTTACATCTGATATTGTTAAAGCGGTTCGGGGGTAGAATAGATATAGTATCTAAATCTTGCTTCCTGTAATATTGTTAGCGACAACAAGACGTCAATTATTATTATTATTATTATTATTCTGTATTTCACTCCTAGAGGAAGGGATGAGCTGAGTTCTAAGGCCTTTAGTCGGAAAGGGTTTTCCGCAAGATGTGGGCTGTTCCTAGCAGTGCTATCTTTTGAACTTGTGTATTATTATTACTATTATTATTATTATATTATTATTATCTATAAAAATGAATATATCAATTTAATACTACATATACGAAGTTACTGAACATTTTACCTGTTGTCGCATCAATGGCGAAATATCCGTCGCTGGCATTCCCACTCAAAGAATACACAACTTTCCCATACTTTCCACTATCCTTATCGTCAGCTTTCACTTGAGTGACAGCTGTCGATAAACCAGAGTCGTCAGATAGAGCTGCATAGTACTTCTTCAATCCTTCCATTGGGTAGATGAAGTACGGCTTGTTATCGTTGATATCCTGTACATTGATGGTGATTTGAGTGATAGCGAATTCTCGGTTGATGAATCCTTGTAAGGACATTATTTCGACCTCGATGTGATAGGTTTCTTGCGTTTCATAGTCGAGCGATGAGTTTAGATAGAGAGCGCAGTTGCGGTCCTCGGTCACGTTTATGTGGAATTTACCTGAAATAAAAAGAACGGTATAATGTTAGAAGACAAATTTCACTCGTTTGAGAATTCAAAGAAATTATAAGAACATAGTGCGAAAGTAGATAGGGTTTGTATGTTCTGGGACGCCCTTGAGCGCCGACCTTCGGTGCCAAACGACCTTGAGAGCTGACCTTCGGTGCCAACCTTGAAATGTGACCTTGAAGTGTGACCTTGAAACGTAACCTTGAGTTTCCGAGTGACCTTGAAGTGTGACCTTGAGTGCTCGAGGTCATATATGTTCGAGGTCACACTTCAAGGACACTCGTAAACTCAAGGTCACGTTTCAAGGTCACGTTTCAAGGTTGGCACCGAAGGTCAGCTTTCAAGGTCGTTTGGCACCGAAGGTTGGCGCTCAAGGGCGTCCCAGAACATACAAACCCTATCTATAGATCGACCAGCCAAAGATTGCTAGGGACGAAAGGGGGAAATGCGATGAAAAAACCTTACCATTAGACGATTTTATATGGAGTCATAGGCGGAGATCGGAGAGACTTGAATTATTAATTGAATTTATATTTTATTACAACTGGTAGTATTAATATTTTTTTGCGATTCATAATGACGTGATACCAAACATACATTATAAGAAATAAATATACACAAACACTGAATATTGAGAACAAAATAAATATATTTTTTAGGCAACAAGTAATATTCCTATGTACGCATTATGATTGAACAGCAAAACAAATTATGCATTCTTCTAAAATAGAATACAACAAGTCAAAAATATCTGACTGAATAGAAAAATATAGGAAAACAAAAAGTAATTTCTTGATGAAATAACCCATAAACAACACATAGAATTAGACTTTCTACTGAGATACTAAAAGCCACAAACCAATAGTATAATAAATGAATATCTAAAAATTCTAAAAGGTAGCCAATCTAGTATAGTTTCAATCCTGATTAGAGTCATGATCACTGTCTGAGGAACTGTCATTGCTATCACTTTCACCTCCTATGTTGATTATTATTTCTTCCTGTATTTCTTGAATGAGACTGTCTTTTTCCCAATATTCATCTTCAATTTTTATAACATGTCCAATAACCTTTTGCCAGTCACTGGCACTTACTGAAGCGATGGCCTTATTAGAAATTTCATCTAGTTTTTTTATAGTAAATTCGCCGCTTGTATTATGGCTTCTAATGAAAAATTTTACTTGTGCCCAAATCATCTCTATGGGATTAAACTGACACATATAGGGTGGCGTTCGAAGTGGGGTGTGTCCGAAACTTCTTATTAAATTATCTATCTTATAATTTTTCTCATCAGATGGTGGCCTATGTAGACAAGCTATTTCATAAAGCTCCATTTTTTTAGCATTAGGATCATGCTCTATACCTTTTTTGCTCAACCACGTGATGATGTCTCTTTTTAGAGAAGATCTAGTTGGAGGCTTGTCTTCCAAAGCTGAATGGTAAGGTGCATTATCCATTATTATAATACTATTAGGAGGAATGTTAGGAAATAGTTTTTCAGTAAGCCACTTCGTGAAATTTTCTTGGTTCATTTGACCGTGATAATCACCAGTGGCACAGCCAGCCTTGAAAATGAGACAGGCTCCAGGAACAAAACCATCTTGCGAACCCGCATGAACAATTATAAGTCGTCCTGGAAATGAATAAATAGCCTCATTTTAGTGTTATTTTAAGTTTGCCAACACCTTTTTGAATCACTATGTATAAAAAACATATTTTTGAGAAAAAAATACTTGCAAGGGATTATGTATTCAATTAGACAAATTAAATGAGCACTTATTAAGAATATTCCAAAATTGAGAAAAATGTATAATAAGCAAAATCGAGGTGAAAGAAACTTTATTACCTGTAGAACTTATATTGCTCAGGACACCCATAATTTCTTCGCTTTGCCAGCATTTCTTGAAAGTGAGGTCATTATCAACCCAAGTTTCGTCCAAATAAATAATATGCCTTCCTTCTTCCCGGAACTTTTTAATAGACCTAAGATACTTGTATCGCCAATGTAAAATACTGGGTCTTTCCATTAGTAATTTCCTTTTGTTGTGGCATTTACGCCAGTAAAATCCTTTTGCTTTTAAAAGCAGCCTCAACGATTCTTTACCAAATGGAAATTCCATTTCTTCCTTCAGTTTGATTAGAAGTTTACTACAAGTAGGTACCACTTTAAAATCACAGTAAAATTTTTCTATCATTCTCCGAATAATGGAAAAATCGACTCCATCAATTTTTTGGATCACAGAAGGGCGTGATCTCTTTTTTCCGGGAGAAGCTAAAGGCTGTGTGGAGGTTGCATTTTGCCTGTCTTTATCTTCTTTTCTAATTTTACTTATAGTTCGTTCACTAACACCCGTATAATATGCCGCCCTTGCATTTCTAGCTACCAGTGGATAAACGAAAGTATTGTTAGCCGCTTCTGCATCGCAAGCACGTATCACGTTTGCTATTATTTCCCTTGCCTGGCTGTGAATAACTTTCCCATGCTTGAATTCCATTATCACCACTAAACAGTAAATTATATTTTCAAAGTATTTGCCAACTGCCTACGCCTATGGGAGTAGGTTTATAAATGACCGTGCCATCGGCACGTTATTCTAGTTTCAGATAAGATAAGAGTTTTGGACCAATCAGCGACCGGATGTTTACCTGCGGCCTGGGTTTTCCAGCTACATTGCCAAATTCAGCGGAACAATTCTATATCTTAAATATGTTAATATGTATGGACCGCATTTTATGTAGAACATCTGACAACTTCGCAATTTTTTGTCCGCATTCTTTCGGCTTGCAATCTTTCGCTGGTCCAACTATACTTGCGAAAACTATTGATATTAATATTTATTGAGCATTTGATGAAAATAAGTCGATACTGAATAGCTCTATTGAGCTTACAGTACTGAACGAAGATAGTCAATGTTGAATGGCCAGAAAGATGGCTGCAGAATAACCCCTTGCCTTACTTTACAATGTAGAGATACTTGGGGATATAGCAGGAGGCACCTGATCTTGATTCAGGTCAGTAACTGTATCGCTTGTGGCGGATGCTGAATTCATCAGATACGAGGGCGGACCGATAAGTGCCTAGCCTACAAGCGAAAAACGAAAAGTTTTGGAAAAGTGACATTCTGCCAATACGAGATCGAGGATTTTTGTCACGTTATCCTCCGTGGTAGCCGTTTTCGTGGCAATTTTGCGTGTCTCATCAAATACCAACGTGCTATCAACCAATTCTTCATGATCCCCATCGAAAGAGAAGAGTGTCAAAACAAAACTACGAGTCTGAATCTGCTGAAATTTTGACAGTAGCCGTCTACGGCAGTAAATTTGCATTGGCATAGTGGCGCCATCTGGCGGTGAAGCTAGGTACTCATTGGATCGCCCTCGTAGAGCCAGTGCCGGCGATTGAAAGGGAGAGGGGGCGTCGTTTCGAGTTTATTAATAAAAGGATTGCCAGATTTTTTTAACTTATCAGGTACACATGCTCAAATGTACAATTCAAGCGTCTGTTAACAAGTTATTTCTGTGTTTACATATGTTGTAAGGCTAAGTAATAGAGAGCCAGTTGGCTCTGCAGCATAGATGAGTTGATAAAGGCATTATTATTATTCAAGATAAGATAACTTCATCGATATTTCTTTAGACATATTTGTAAATCATACCTTCTTTATTTCCCGAGATAATTTGGCATTTCAGCGGAATGGTATTTCCGTGTATCTTGCTATTGACGATCGTCAATGTTTTTATCCTGTAGCCTTCCGTCGCATTTTCGGGTATTTGGAAGCTATACGAGGTATCTGCAAATCTCAGTCCTACTTCGGGAGCCACAGTAGCCACGTGTTGTATGTAGACGTCGACCGTTATTACAGAAGAAAGTTGGGGATCCCCTAAATCGAAGGCACGAACGTCTACCTGGAAAGTGTACATCGTGGATATTAAGGGGAATTTCGTCTTCAAAAATATACTTCCTTCAAAACATGAGTCGCCCGATTCCAACAAATAATGATACCGTTTATCTAACTACAAAGTCTTCCTATAAGTGATAACGATAGTGCTCAGTAAACAGAAGTCTTGCCATTAAAAGCTGCTTATAGTGAATTAAGAGAATACTTTTACTTTACCATATAGTTATTTAAATAAACAACAAAAATCAATAGAAGTATAAGTTAATTGGTAAAATATCAAATGCACAATATTTTAAAAGCCTTACACTAAAAATCGCAAAAATCCATCCAGCGAAACCGGGTCCGTTGTTTTCTTATATCGCCTAATATTTCGCTGATATTTTTCACCACCAGTATTGGCGATGGTCAGTTATGTAACGTCCTTTAACAAGTTTATTATCTCTCACCTGATATTCAGTGTCAATTTCCTTTTTCAAGTCATTGGTTACTCTCAATACTCCGGTATCTGGATCAATCTGAAAGTACTTCTTCGCCTTTCCACGTCCAATAATTTCATATCGCACCTACAAATTCATTATAACTATTTATAACTTGTATCTTATGTAAAATAATTGATGTTGTAGATGTACGCTTGTATACGTGTTGTCCTGAAATTTGGGACTTTCCTTTACAGAGCATTAAGGTCAGGCAACAACAAGCAAGTTTGCCTAGTAACCCAAGCCTTAGAATTACCGAAATATTTAGTTCCGAAAGTCTCGGAGTGGGCCAAGCCCGACCCTGCACCGTGCGTCACAAGCTACGTGGTTTTGCGGTACAATTGCTCTACAGTATATTCAGATAAGAGATAGACCGGACATAAACAAGACCACGTGATCATCGAACGCTGTAACATTCGGCAGGGACGTATTAAGAGTCACGCAGTACATATTTTAGATGCTCCTTTGCGTAACTTTGTAGTAAATTAGCACAATTCGATGTGTATACGATTGGTGATGGATATAGGATCATGTGGGGGTAGGGTAAGAAATATATAATGATGTAAATATACATAAGGGTTTCAAAATTTTCGCTTCGATTTCCAGCTTCGGATGCCGCCTGATGTTTGGTGAAATACAGTCGAATATAATCTCAAAATGGCGTTTAAATTACCCTAAATTAAAAATAATCGTATATCTCTTAAAACTGCTTTTAGAATATTGATTAGTATATTTTTTGATTTCTAGGTAAATATGTAACCAAATTAAAACGTTCAAAACGTAAAAAAATGTGCATGGTTGAACATTGTCAGAAAGTAGATTCTTGAATAGGTTTTGCCAAAATGGGTTCAAAAATGTCAATAATTAATTAAAAAATACAGTAGCTTTATAATTACTTATAACTTACCGAATTTGATGAACGACATCTTTTATTGGAAAGATGAGCTTGATGAGCTTTCATCATCGCTACTGCCTGAAGCACCAATGTCAATAATGAATGGCTCGACTTGTTCCTCTAAAATATTGTCCAGTTCCCACATTCTCTTTTCAACTTTGTCTTTCACGTGCTTAATACAGTTTTCCCATTTTTGCGCTGTTATTAATTCTAATGCTTCTTTGAAAAGTCCTTTGAGGTCACAAAATTTATAAGTTGTATTGTGCTTAGCTATATAATTTTTAACCTCTGCCCACATGAGCTCAATGGGATTGAGCTCGCAATGGTATGGAGGTAAACGGAGCACAGTTTTATTTTGACTTGCTGCCATTTCGTCATTGGCGTATTTTTGATATTCCGCCTTGTGATCCTTGACAATTCTTAATAATTGTACTTTCAGCATTGCTTCTTCAAAGTTGATATTTTTCGAGCGGAGCCAATTTTGAACATCAACTTTCCTTGAAGCCGTTGTTGAGACCTTCTCCATTCTTCGAGAATGATAAGGCGCATTATCCAACACAATTACTGCGTTTTCCTCTAAGTTCGGTAAAATTTTTGAAAATCACTGTTCAAACGATTCGCCATTCATCTCCAGTTTTCTTAGACTCAAAGCACCAAAGACCGTCAACAACAAATCCATCCTCATTGCCAATATGGCAGATAATGAGCCTTTTCCCTTTACCTGGAAATCGAAGTACTAACTGGTGTAGATTTATTTCAATAAGCGAACCTTTTTCAAATGTTTTCATCACATTCAGCGAAAAAACATTGAGACATGAGTATCAGATTGCTATAATTGGGATTATTTAGTCATATTGAAAGAAAGAATATTGAACGTCGTATGATTACTCAGCGCTTCACAATTTAATTTAAAGTTATAAACCTTTAAAAAATGAATGATCAGGAACCTGAAATACGCGCAAATATTATTATTAACAAATTATAACTTTATAAAGCTTAAAGTATGAATTAAAATGATTAGAAATATTAGGAACGGTACACAATATAAAACTTAGTAACTTTTTTTAAGTTTATAATATTCGACATATTTTAAGATTATATTAAAAAATTATTGAAATATCGAAAACACATAAAAACATGGCTTAAAAAAGTTCTAACAAATGAAAATGACAATAAAACATCCACGCATTTTATCGAAAGTTATAAAAGTTTTGTTACTTGTAATATGTTTTATCTGCCCCCTGGAATTAATGTTTAGAACCTTGTTCCCAACGTTTGAAAAACATCCGATTGTTGTCTATTACTCGTATTTACCTGCTGGATTTTTTAATCCGGTGGACAGTCCATCTAGAAAGGCCCTCCTGGATGAAGTTACAGAATCATCAACCCATACTTTACTTGTAGTGTGTCCTACGTTTACCCACGTTTCATCAAGGTAATAAATCTTCCTGTTTTGATTTCTATATTTCCCAATTTTTGTTAAATAATCCCTCCTCCATAGCACAATTTCTTCTCTATCCAGTAGTAAACTATTACGACCCCGTTTTTTCCATTTGAAATTTAAATGCTTCAGTAACGCATGGAAAGTTGATCGTTTGAAATTTGGCAACGTTGTATCTCCATTTACCTCCAGCAGTACTTTATCTATAGTAGGTATTTCATTCCTAAAGAAGAATTCATGCACTTTCCTCCTAATCGCATGCTTATCAGCTTCATCCAATGATTTAACAATACTTTTGCGATGTTTACTGGTCATTGGCTCAGAAAAGGTGTGATTTTTTTTGTATTGTCTTAACACATTAAACACTGATGCGCGACACACCCCAACTTTGTGAGAAACCTTCACAACAATTTCTTTGATGGTTGATGCCTCGTTCTCCTCGCGCTCGATCTTATTATATTCAAAATGACCTCTTTCATTTCTGCACTCAGGTGTCTTTTTTTAGAGCGTTTCCTAGGTGGACTACAGGAGTTTACAACTTCATCGGCAGTATCTGTACTACTGGGCATTTTGCGCAAGCAGTTGATACCAATAACAAGGTATAACAATAACAACGACAAACTCAACAACTTAATAAGATAACAAACGAAAACGTCCAAAGAAATATCAAATTGCAATGATGCACACGACATACGTAACACGTCTGAACCTGAATGTGACTCTGCCTTGATACGACTGCTCTGCCGCTCGGCATAGGCATTTAATTGCGAATTGACCAATGAGGGCTCCTGTTTTACGTCGAGACGGCGGCGTTAGCGTGAAAATCACCCGAACCTTTTGTTTACATCCGGTCTATCTCTTATCTGAATATACTGTAGTATCCGGATCAGGCCCCGCGCGGTGTGTAGATTAACCTTTTTGTAATCGGATTTGAGAAACCGAAATTGGTACCTCCTTATAGCAATAATGAAGTTCAGTCCATTACTGTGTATGGTATTAAAACGCACCCCTGTTTTACTACACATTTGCTTTGTTGTTTTTGAAAAGGAAAGTCCCAACGCTTTGTATACATAAGGGTGAATGTTTGTTCAGTCAGTCAGCAGCGCGTCTGTACGACAATACGGAGAGACGTAAAGATTTGTACACTTGCTAATTGATACCCGAGGGAGGTTATAGGCATAGTTTTATTCGCGAACTCACCGTCGATTTCGCAAATACATTTGACAATATTCTACTATGGCGGAAAGTGGCAAAATCTCCACCGTCAGCATCAAGTCGGCAGCAGCGCGGCCTGCCATCGCGCCACTCAACAGGTGACCGTCAAGCGATACAGACTTTTTATTTTGCGCTATCTGTTACCTGTGACTTTGTACGCTTGAAAGTGTTAGTGACATAAAAAACTGTTTTGAAGTAACGCTATAAACTTTCAAGCATGTTTTGTATTTTTGATGCCATTAGTAAATTGACAGTCAACTTGGAGGACTGGAAAATTTCGTTACTTTATCAGTTGCGCCATCTATCTCGATATACAGGGTGGCGCATCGAAAACGAAACAGACGCATTTACTGGCAGCTCAGTTTTTTTTTTGAAAAACGCTCAGACGCGTCGATTTTGTTTTCGAGGGGGACGCAAGTTTGGCAAAAAATCACGTTAGCACGTGCAGCCCCCTAAGCGGGGGTGACGCCACCCCCAAAATCTTAAATGGAAAGGGGGTCGAGTAATACCTTCTTTTATAGGTCTTTCAATTCGCTTTATAATAGTATAAAATTAATGTACTTCGGTTCAGTAGTTTTGACGATTTATTGATTTAAAGCTTAAATAAAACTAATACATCATCATTAGTGGAGATCTATACATTTGGCAGCAAAGTAATTTAAAAAAGAAGAATGAACTGACCCGTTAGGGAAGTAAATGTTGAAAATTGCTAACATGACTCTTCATGCAATAATAAAGATTTTGGTCAAAGCGTTGCCGCACATTTTGCAATATTTGAGGAGTAATTTGAAGGCACTCATTCACAATTCTTTGTCGCAGGTCTTCTAATGATGTTGACTCCACATAAAGAAATCCAAAGGTGATAAATCTGGCGATCTTGAGGGCCATTCAATGGCACCTCTTCTACCATTCCATCGATCTGGAAACGTCCGATTTAAATATTATCGAACACGTAATGCGTAATGTGGTGGGGCACCATCCTGTTGGAACATCAACCTATTCGCAATGTACCGCCGATCATTCTGATTTTCAATTATGGCTGTTAGTGCAGGATCTATGGCGTCTTCCAGTAATTCCAAATACATTTCACCGGTCAAATTTCCAGGAAAGAAAAAAGGACCAACTAAATGATCGCCAAAAATACCAGCCCAAATATTTAATTTTTGTGGCGGCTGTGTATGAACCTCACGATAAATTCTGGGATTAGAATCGGAAGGTAGATTCATTTTATATGCAGATGATACTTCAGTGGTGATATCGAATAAGTGTGAGGCTACATTAGAGAGATATTGTGGAGTTTTATTGCAAGGTATTCACAAGTGGTTTAGCAGCAATCGGCTCTATTTGAATTCTGAAAATACATCAGTTGTCCAGTTTCACAACATCCAGAAGAAGCCTAGGACATTAAATATCACATTTAATGGCTCAAGAATGTCTCTTAACACGCAAGTTAAATTCTTGGGCTTGTATCTAGATACAGGTTTGAATTTTAAAGACCACTGTGTATATATTGCTTCAAAGATAAACTCCCAATCATATCTTATGAAAAATTGCGAACTGTTCTTACCGAAGCACAGATAATTTCTGTTTACTATGCTCAAGTTGAGACACGACTGAGGTATGCACTATGTTTCTGGGGTTTGTCTACAAATGCCCAACAAGTATTTTTGGCCCAAAAAAGAGTGGTTAGATGCATGATGGGAGTCAGCAGTAGGCATTCTTGTAAGGATATTTTTAAGCGCCTTAAGATTTTAACTTTACCATCTTTATGTTTATATGAAATGGCTGTGTATACTTTTATTAACAAAACTAGGTTTTTAAACAATTTTAACTCGTACTCTACCAGACAAGCTGGAGACTTAAATGTGTATTTTGCCAAGTAAGTATAAGATCGGCGTCAGATCTCCGGAAATACTGGGTCCACGAATTTTCAATAAACTACCAAAACATATTAAAGACTGTGGAGATATACATAATTTTAAGGCTAAGCTGACAGATTTTCTTGTGTGTAAATGTTATTATGCCGTCTCTGAGTTTGTTATGTTATGATTTATTTGTGTGTTTGTTTTATACATATATTTATTTTGTGTTGTTTTATTAGTTATTATTCCGACGAATCTTATACATACTTTGTAATGTCTCTTGGGATAATAAAAGAATTTGAATTTGAATTTGAATTTGAATATCGGCAGTTATGACGATTTACTACGCCATTTAAGAAAAAGGAACATTCGTCGGAAAAGCAAGTGTTGATTAGAAAATGTTCATCGTTTATAATTCGTTCACTCACATCTTCACAAAATTGTAATCGTCGATCAAAATCGTCTTCGTTAAGTTCTTGTACCAGGTGAATTTTATACGGATGACAACTATGGGCCTTTAGAATCCGTTGGACAGTACGTCGACTTACACCACACACAGTCTCCAATTTGAGGGTACTTAACGTTGGATCTACATAAACTTGCCCTAAAACCCCCACTTCTATTGCTTCGTTCCTTATGGGATTTTCAATGTTGCGTTTTTTATTGGCGACTGACCTAAATTTTTTCCCACAGAAAAACGCTTCAATAGCTATTTTCAACAGCAAAATGATAAACAGACCATGGGCGTAGTAAAGAAAGGCATTTACTTATTAAGTAAATTCTTTTAGTCAAATTTCTTCTGAAAGTAGTACAAACTAATCTGATGTACCTATTAAAGTCTACTTTAAGCTTTAAATCAGTAATTCTTCAAAACTACATGTATTTTACATCATTATAAACGGAATTGAAAGACCTTTAAAATGAGGTATCACTCGATTCCATTTAAGATTTTAGGGTTGGTGTCACCCTCGCCCAGGGAGCTGCACGTGTTAACGTGATTTTTTGCCAAACTTGTGTCCCCCTCGAAAACAAAATCGACGGGTCTGGGCGTTTTTCCAAAAAAACAACTGAGCTGCCAGTAAATGCGTCTGTTTCATTTTCGATGCGCCACCCTGTATATCTATGGAATTTCGGTATTCGGGAGGTTTTTGATCAACTCTCTGAAAACACGTACAAGTTTTTTTATCACAGTTTCTCAATCTTTGATCTTAGAAATTTGTCTATGCATCTTTTTGATCTTTGGACTATCCTTAAAAAAAGTAATTTCTCAGATTCTTCGAAAACCGGCTAAACCTCAAATTATCAAATTTTTATCACTAAAAGGCGACTTTTTGAGATTTGTCTTGACAATGGGTATTTTTTCTCATATAGTTGCATAAAGAAGAATTTGTTGCGCTCGAGAAAAGATTGAACTCCTCATTGAACGTTATTGCCTCCAGTGGCGTGCACAAAACGTTTGCTACTATGACACTATGTAATTTAAGCCGAACTTACAAATAAAACAGTACATTGAGGACCGATCAACATTACAAATTGAAGCTACATCATTCACTAAATGACTTTCTCCGAATCTTTTTATACGAATCTCTCGTTCTTTTTGAAGAAGATGAGTCGTTTTTGAGAAAATGAAATTATACTGTCAAGTCTACAGTCAATATTATTATTATTTTCAAATTGCATGTTTGAGGTGTTCGTAGTTAGAATAGAACCGGACAATCGTCCTATTTGCATGCTAATAAAAAAAATCGAGCCGAAAAACATTTATTGCACTTAAAAATTTGATAATTTTAGTTATGACCAACTTTTGAAAAACTTTAAATATCACTCTTTTTAGGATAGTGCAAAGATGAAAAAGATGCATAGAAAAATTTTCAAGATCAAAGATTGAGAATTTGCATAGGCCCAAACTTTGCTAAAAACCATGACTTCCTTTGCTCACCATGTATAAGAGGATAAGTACAGAAATATACCGATCGAACCATGTAAGGGTTCATCAAAAGGTGAAAGACCTCCCAGTACTGCAGCTCGATATCTCTTTCCGAACCGAAAATGTCAAGATTTGAATTTGGGTATAATTTTCCATGTTCCAAAGCAACTGACCACCAATTTAGTTAAAAATAGGATAGAGTATCGAGAAGCCGAAAAACATAGCAATCAATGAGTATTATCTTTGATTATAACAAAAAGGATGATCCTGGGTTATGATACGATACCAATTATTTCGTTTGCAGATTCAATAATAATTGTAAGTATGTTGGATGTGTAAGCCACACAATCCATTTTGAAATATCAAGCACTTCCACCATAGTTTGAATAGCTTCAACATTTTTAGGTATATTTACTTCCAATTTGAAATAGGTACTCCTCTCGCAACCGGTACATAGAAAAAATAAATCTAAAATTCTACTTACCGTATTCCCAGGAGCAGTTCCATCGGAGTCAGTCGCAGTTAAGGTAGTTACTGTAGTACCTATAGGCACATCATCTTCCAAGCTTATAGGATGAGGTACAATTGTGAAAACTGGCGGTATATCGTTTCTATCCTAAAAACAATGAGCACTTTAAGAAAAATCAACAATTTGAATACTTATTCAATGTTTTTGCAGTACTTTATCAAAAGTTATATAGGGTTGTCCAAAACAACGGACGCAGGAAAGTAAACGCATATTAAAACAAGAAAAATTGATATTCAAATCAAGTTGGGTACTTTATTTTGAAGGTTCATTTATACCATTTATGTATGAAAAATAATCTCGCTCAAATGTTCACCATGACTGGATTTACAGACGTCCACGCGATGGTCGAAATTTTCAATGACATTTTCCAACATGGTCGGTTCTATGGCATTTATCTCGGCAATGATGTTGTTTTTGAGTTCTTGGAGGGTGGCTGGTTCGTTGACGTAGACTTTGCTTTTCAAATATCCCCATAAAAAGATGTCCAAGGGAGTCAAATCGCACGATCTTGGTGGCCATGGCACATTTCACGCGATCACCGAAGAAGGACTGCAATCGATGGATATTGACGTTGGTTGTGTGGCATGTTGCACCGTCTTGTTGGAAATAAACATCGTCCATATCCATTCCTTCAAGTTGCGGCAAAAAATAGTCCTCTATCATCACGTGATATCGCTCAGAATTGACGATAACGGAGTCCCCGGCCGCATTTTCGAAAAAGTAAGGTCCGATGATGCCTTTTGACCACAAGGCACACCACACAGAAACTTATTGAGGATGCATCGGCTGCTCTTGATACTCACGGGGATTTTCGTTCGCCCAGATGCGGCAGTTTTGCTTGTTTACCGTCCCATTCAAAGTGAAATGCGCTCCGTCGCTGAACATGAGTTTTGATGAAAAATTGGCATCAATTTGGCGGTGTTCAAGGAGCCAATCTGAGAACGTTCGGCGCGAAAAATGGTCGGTCCGACGCAGCTCTTGCGTCAATTGGATCTTGTAGGCGTGTACATTCAAATCCTTGGTTCCCCCCCCTGGTTCTCGAAATGCCCAATTCTTGGGATCGACGCGTTGTTGATTGTTTCGGATCGTCTCTCACAGTCTCCTTCACAACAGCAATATTTTCCGGTGTGCGAACGCTCCTTGGCCGGCCAGAGCCTGGCAGATTTGCCACAGAACCTGTTGCCTCGAATTTACGCACCAGACGACCGATGGTTGTTTCGTTTGGGCGGTTGTTGCGACCGAAATGTTCACGAAGCGCGCGAAACGTGTTTTTTATTTTTGCGCCATTTTTGTAGTGCTCTTGAATAACTTTAATGCGGTCTTCAATCGAATACGACTCCATAGCGATCAATGGTAAACAATCAACTAACAAAATGACATGTCTTTGACAGAAAAGAAATATGGCGTCTATGTCAAATTGACGTTTGCTTTTCTGCGTCTATATTGGACAAATATATTCCACACCCACCTCAACGTTGACAATAACTTTAGCAGTACTGCCATTTTTATTGGACATATTTTCTAAAGTGCCGATTACCAGCACATGCTGTTGGTCTTTCTCGTAGTCTAGTCCACGAGAAGTAAAAATACTGCCAGTATTTTCGTCTATCCTGAATAGATCTGTAGGACCCTGGTGGATAACGTACGTGATTTTCTGGATTGTGTCTGGATCATAAGCCTGCAAAGAACATATTACATAGTTCTAAGTGGTAACTAATGTAAGTAATAAGCTTCTGAAGAATGTCGAACAAATGCGTGAGTAAAATGAAACAGTACTTTTTGACAACGTAAGTCAGTTTGTACCTTGACTTCTGCGACAAAGTGTTCGGGAACATTTTCAGGCACTGTAGCTTCGTATATTAGCTTCTTGAAAAATGGTAACTCATCCTCTATATCTATAACTTCAACGGTGACGGTAGCTGTAGCTATTCTTGGGTCTGGAGCTCCATCTTTGGCTGTCACTACGAACTGATATTCCTAAAACGAAGAAAAAACATCAAATATTCGATCAACCTCACAAAAACCGATAAATACATGTATGGTTTCTGATTCAAACTGTCTAATCTATTTTTTATTATTACGAAAACAATGCACTCTAGGAAAAAGCACAAGAGTAATTATTTGTAGCAAAAGTAAAAATTCGAATAATTTCACGTAGACTGCTTTTATTTGGAAAAATAATGCTACTAATCCCCAGTATCTCCGCCACTGGTGCACGTTAGTTTTAAGTAAAGACTTTTAACTGTGGACAATACTTAGGTAAATCCACACACCAAATCTTAGTCCATTCCAGTTGACGGTTTTGAAGATATTAAAAATTTTTTTTATTTTTTAAACCTCAACACCCCCCCGTATCTTTTAAAAGAAGCCCTCGGGAAAAATGTTACATAGAAGACCTCCCTTAAAATGCAGTCTTGGTGTAAGTTTCATTTTTGGAGTCACGTTTCTGATACAGTTGATGCACCGTCTCGTTTATGCAGGAAACCCAAATGGAATAATTAAGTGATGTCTTGCGATCCATTTAGTCCTTTGCAGCCCTTTTTTTAATTGGAATGAAAATTCTATATAGTTTAGTATCTAGGACCTACCTTCTGTTTCTCATAATCCAACACGCTATTGGTCGTGATTTCGCCAGTTTCACTATCAATATCAAACGGCAAAGACTCAGGGATGACGTAACTAACTTTGGCGTTAATGCCTTCATCAGCGTCTGTGGCCTTGACGTATCCAACTGAAGTCTTATTTAACCCTTCTTTGACTCTGAATTTGTATGGTTCACCTTGAAACTCTGGATTCTTGTCGTTTATGTCTGTTACTCTTATATTCACGGTGACCAAACTTGACAGCTTGCCAGCATCTTCAGCCTTTATCATCTGTGGATAAATAGGAAAATGTCAATGGGTGGAACACTTTGAAAATATTTATAGTAAGTTATTGTTGTTATTCCTTTTACAGAAAGAACCTGAACAAAATCAGTTGGCGGACAATATCTCGAATACTAATAGTTCTTATACAAAACCTACTAAGCAGCTTACTTTCGTAAATGGAATATGTATTTTTTTTAACTGGAAGGGATAAAGGGATGAAAATATTTATTGCTATTAACATATTCGTGAATTTGGCGAGTTTTATTTCTTGAATATCATTCCGCCCAAATGTTTGCCAACCATTTGGACACACGGGTTACACAAAATAGTGCAACCATGATTACAAACGAAAAGTGCCTAGAAAGTGAGATATGCTATACTCCTAAAATAACGGGCCTTGCAATACTTAAGGTTAATCTTTCTACAGCTGAGCTTACCAGTCAAGCAGAATATTGCAGAGATATGGAACACTTTAACGATCTTGAATTCCAATTAACGCTAATAGAATCTCCATGGCCATCCAACCTTATCAGTACTGATGAAATAGCAAACAATTTAGTAAAAATAATATTGATTTCGATGGAACTATTTACAAAGAAAGCGAGACAATAGTAGACTTTTAATGATTTTTTTCTGAACAGCGTGAATAATTTGGAAATTGATATAGATGACATACATATGGAAAATACTTTGTATTATACACCAACTCCCACAAATAGCTTTGGTACATTCAAAACAGTTCAACTGAAGGAACTAAGAAATACAGTTAACAATTTAAAAAATAAAAATACCAGTGTGGACGAAATTGATAACAAAATCTTGAAATTGGCTTTTGAAGTTATAGGCGACCGCTTTCTTCAGCTTATAAATTCCAGTATGGAAACACGATGTTTTCCCCAGGATTGGAAAATGTCAATAGTCATCCCTATAGAAAAAGTGGGTGTAACAATAAAATGTGAAGAGCACAGATCAATTAATATGGTACCTGTGTATGAAAAACTTCTAGAAACTGTTGTCAATCAACAATTACGTCAATACGTAGAAGAAAATAAATTACTTACAAAATACGAAGCTGGTTTTAGGTTTCAGTGCGCTTCAGTCTGTTATTTCAGGATGGAAAAATGTTTTGAGTGTGGGTCATTATGTGGGTGTTGGGTTTATCGACTTTAGGAGAGCATTCGATACAATAAATAGAAAATTGTTGATATAAAAGCTAGAAAAATATGGCTTTGAAGGCAACGTTTTAAGATGGTTCGCAGGATACTTGGAACAAAGAACTCAGCGAACAAAGTACAAAAACTTAATGTGTGCCTCAGGGAACAGTGTTGGGTCCTGATCTATTCGTGCTGCATATAAATGATATTGCTTTAAAAAATTGCAAAATTCAGTTGTTTCATAGTTACAATACAATGAATAGGTTTCATTTTTATGTTCCTGCTGTGGGGTCTGCTTTTGCGCAAAATACGTTATTTCATAAAGGCCTTATATATTTTAATAATTTACCAGCTGAAGTAAAATCTACAAATTGTATCAAATTCAAAAGACAATTGAGAATTTATGTAGAAAATAGTGTTAGTTTCAGATAATGACATTATACAGCAAAGTTGGGGTTTTCCTTTACACGACGTGTAGATCTTGAAAACATAAGCAATTTTTCTTAGTACCATATACACCAATGTCTTAAGGGAACCGAGATAAAGGGCTCTGCAACATCAAAAATATCTGAATACCATCTTGTAGCCGCGACCCGCCACGATATCCCCGACTGGTACAAGGTCTCAACCCGACGGCAGAACTGGGTCGGGGTCAGTGTGTCAGGTTAGTATGCAACCTTCAACCGACGGTTACGGTCACGCGTGTAGAGGTAAACGAACTCGTATAATCGATTGCGTTTCAAAAAACAACACGCACTAGAGACGTGGCTAGAGAAGTGCAAGTATCAAAAACTAAAGTGTGGAAAACGCTGCGTGAAGAGGGGCTGTATCCGTTTCACGTCCAACGTGTACAAGCCCTTCAACCTGACGATTTTCCAGCAAGAGTGTGGTTTTGTGAGTGGTTGTTGCATCAACATGACAATAATCCGGACTTTTTGAAGTGCACATTGGTGTCGGACGAATCTACGCTCACGCGTAATGGGGTGAATAACTTTCGCAACACTCATGTTTGGTCAGTAGAAAATCCGCACGCTGTCCGTCGGGCACATTTTCAACAAACATTTTCGGTGAATGTTTGGGCTGGCATGGTGAACGGTATGCTCATTGGACCATTTATTCTCCCAAAACGATTGGACGGGATGCAATACCTAGACTTTTCACGCAACATTTTGCCTTCCTTGTTAGAGGATGTGCCATTAAGTGTAAGACAATCAATGTGGTTTCTGCGTCTGCTCGGTAGCGCTTCAGCTGATTTCATTTTCTGTTGGAGCGGTATGCTTTCGGGCAGAGACGTACTTAGCCCTTCTCATCAACTGGAGAGTGAGTACTTTTTCCTTTATTTTTTTTTACTTGGTCGCCCTCGTTTCACTACACATTACCTTTGTTATTTCAAGGGTAGTTGTTTCTGAAAAGGAAAACCCCAACTTTGCGGACACCCTGTATATATATATATATATATACAGGGTGACTTCGAAGTTGAGTCATTTATTTTAACAGTGAGTAGATCTGATCAAAAGAAATGTTTTTTTCCTATAACATTTTTCTGGTAAAATTAAAGTAACAAAGTTATAGCCCTTTAGAAGTTTGAGTACCGCCCTGTCTCAATAATAATATTATGTGCTCGTGTTTGGCAACAACGGATATAATCCACCTTATCGGTTCATCGCATCGGAAACAAAAAAGCGAAAGAATTTGAAACGCTTATGTTTTTACTACAATTTTATTCAGTTGTATTCAGTCAATGTGTCAGTCGGTAACGCGTGAGTGAATAGAGGTGTGTTGCGTGGCTCAAACGAAATAAAAAATGGCACATGTTTACGAAAATGCTGAACTTGTGGACATGATTCTTATTTACAAAATGCTGCCGCGGCATCACGGATTTATGCGGATCGGTTTCCCAATCGAGTGCAACCAACCCCTCGTGCCTTTGTTAATGTAGTACAAAGGGCTCGTGAATCAGGTGACTTAAGACCTCACAGGGGAGGGCATCCCGGTGCTCCAAGGCCCCACGATCAAATACAGGTCCGCACTGAAATACTTGTCGGGAGGATACTTTATAAAACAAGATAACATTTTTTTTTTATTTTTTTTTATTTTTACACACATATTTTGGTTTATCTTCCTTCTACAATCATTATCTGAAAATTAATGACTCAACTTCAAAGTCACCTTGTATATATATATTGTAATGTTTAGCTTGAAGCTATTAATAAAGATACTACTACTACTCTGCTAATCCCGCATGCATCTTGCAGGGTTCCGGAGTGATATTGTTTATTTCTCGTCGAATGCTGTCTTCAAGCTCCTAAATATGCATAGATTATTGTAATACACCTTTGACTCTAGATAACCCCACAAAAAATAATCGCATGGCGTGAGGTCGGGTGGACTAGAAGGCCAGTGTGGGTCCCCAAACTTCGATATAACTTTTGGCGGAAAAAGTGCTTTCACCGTGACGATCGATTCTCTGGAATTATGGGCAGTGGCCCCATCCTGTTGAATCCATGTATTTCTGTTAAACCGACGTTCTGTCCTTATAGTAGATGCAAAAACAGTGTCAGCCATGTCCTTGTATCGCTTGCGACTGATTGTCAATGCCTGACCGTTTTCATCTTTAAGAAATACGGACAATAATACCGCTAGCGGATATGGCGCACCAAACAGACATCGTTAGACGATGTAGCTGTTGCACTCGTTGGTGCCCAATATGTGCCTCTATAGCAAAAGTACGTTGCGCTCCGGTCCAACGTTCCATTGTGACTATTTAACCCGTACGCCGAACGTGTCGATCAAGACGTCTCCCCACTTCCTCGCGTATACGGTTGCCGCGTGATTCAAATTTGAAATGTGGACTTTCCCACTGGTATAAAAGTATTAAAAACATTAGAACGATGCATCGACGCTAGTCTGTACCTTTAAATAATAATAAACTTTTCGTTGTACAGAAAAGATAGAGGGGGCTATTTTATAACGGGACACCTCGTACATCCTTGATTAATTCCTGGTGACGTTCAATTTTAGTTCGGTCTTGACTTATCTCAAGATCGAACAAGTATTAACAAAAATGATGCTATAGCTTTGTCCTCAAAGTTATTTATAACCAAAATTTCCAGTTTATAGTAACTGATCATTTACCAATTGGTATCGGTTGAGATCCTCTCGATCCAACTGCCTGATGATGGTCATAACTCCGGTTTTTGGTCCAATGGCGAACTGTCTAAGGTCATTTCCGGAAACGATGGAGTAACTGATTGGTTCTCCTTCGGGATCCGTTGCAGCGAGAGTAGCAACCGTCGAGTTGATGGTGGCACCCTCGCTTACTTCTATATCGTAGGCGGCTTGCTCGAAGATTGGAGGTTCCTTATTCGGTCCCGGACTGATAGTCACCTGTGGATGATAAACAATTGTAAAAAATGTACCTAGAACTAGGACGACACGTGCCAAGTTGTGTTGGAAACTTGCATGTTAGGCGCGTGCTAGCTAGCGTATTGTTAAGCGCAATGTTTTATTTGTCGAAAAGAATTGAGTTTTGAAGTCCATACATGGTTTTTGTGTTAACTTTTAAATTCAAAGTTTGAGCGAAAGTCGGCACGGCATGGGTTATCGTTGTCCGATCACAAAAACATTTGTTTTTTTAGTTTATTTATTTATTTATTTCCAACAGGTGAAACCCAATTACAGGAAAAGCTGAAAAAAATAACAATTAAAGAGACATGGTTCTTGGTATCACACATTCTAAATAAGATTGGATGATCTGTAGCAGTTAATAATCGATGCACAACTGTCACTGTAAATATCACACGATTCAGTAACACGCAGCACATGAGATTAATTGGCGATTTTGTCATAACATTTGTACGGCCAGCTTGACAATAGAATGCCGTTTGTTGTCGATTCCCTAGCCTTGGAACGCGGAAACATATTTTTCAAGTAAATTTTGACAGTCAATTTTATTGTGAATGAGGCCATACAAAAACGACAAAGCAAATATGTATCGTCTTGTTGACAGTGAATCCAAATTGAAAAACTCTAATAGGGCACTATGGTCACAACCTTTTTCTGGATAAGAACCTGTGCATTTAAGGTGAAAATACTTTAAAGCTTTATGTTGAATGGCCTCAAGGATCACGACAGAATTTTGGTATATAGGAGACCAGATCAGAGTCGCATACTCCAACTTGCTCCTGACAAAAGTAAAAAATAAAGTCATTAATGTATCAACATTGGTGAAACCCTTCCAGTTTCTGATACAGAAACCAAGTAGTCGAGTGGCAGCCGACGAGATATTGAGTATATGCTCAGTAAACGTTAGCTTGGTATGAAAAATGACTCCAAGGTCTCTATAAGAGGTGCATCTGTCTATAACCTGAAAATCAACAAAGTGTTGCCTGACACCCAGTCTGGGTTTAGGAAATTACATAATACATCTGCAGCGCTCATTAAAATTTCCAGTGATACAGTGAAATTTATAGACGATGGCATGATAACGCTACTAGTCATGCTAGACTTCAGCAAGGCATTTGACATGGTAAATCACAGAGTTTTGTGTGAAAAACTGCACCATTATGGTTTGACCGGAAATGCCATGCTGTGGTTTAGTAATTACTTGTTTAATAGATCTCAATGTGTAAAATTGCGTGGTAAAGTGTCTACTTTACGAGCTTTTAAGTCTGGTGTTCCACAAGGCAGCGTTTTAGGTCCTATTTTATTTACTATTTATACCTCAGATCTGATAAAACATGTATCATCTGACTGGAATGTACATTTGTATGCGGATGATGTACAAGTTTACAAACCATGTCAACCAACCGATGTAAATTCTTTATTATTAGAATTTAATAAAAATTTAGACATAATTGAACAGTACTCAAAAAATCATTGTTTGAAGCTCAATCCCTTGAAAACCAAAGTATGTTGTGTTGGTTCTAGACTAGCGATTCTGAAGTGTAAACAAGTAATAAATACGAACATATTTTTAGAAGGAATTAACAATGAATTTGTTGAAGAAACAAAAAATTTGGGAATAGTACTTGATAAGAATTTAAGTTTTGAAAGTCACATTATAAATAAACTCAGAATATGTTATTATAAATACAAATCGCTATGGAGATATAAGTATATATTAACAAGTGATATCAAACTAAAACTTGTTAATGCATTAATCCTCACACATTTAGATCATTGTAGTACTGTATATTACCCTTTTATTACTGAGGAAATGCAACAGAAAATTCAAGTTTTACAAAACCATTGTATGAGGTTTTGTTTCAATGAGATAAACAGACGCGAACACATTACTGGGTATTATGTAAGGGAAAATCTTTTAAAGTTCAAATATCGCTCGTTACTTCTCTATGCTGTTCTACTATTTAGGGTTTTAAAATATAAATCTCCGAAATATCTTTTTGACACATTAGAGAAAAGATCTTCACTCCATCAACTGTTCCTCCGTAATGAATATTGTTATAATATACCAGCCCACACTACCTCAAAATTTAAAAAATGTTTCTATTACATAGCTCCCAGTATACTAAATGATTACCCAAGTTTCTTTAAATTAACGTCCATTCACAGCTTCAAAAGAGAATTCAAAAGAATGCTATTACAGTTACAATTTAATGAATCCACAAGTGGCTGAATAAATCTCATTATTAATCTTATTATATTTTAAAGTTTTGTTAGCATTATTATAGTCAACCAAATATCCTTTATGTAATGTATAGGATATACCTTAGTATATATATATATATATATATATATATATATATATATAATCAGGCGAGGGTGAAAAATAGCTATGCCAATCCCCAGCCCTTTGGAGTATTATTTTTTTTGTGTTATATTATTTGCTCGTATTTTGATTCTATTATGTATTAATACTCCAATAAACATTATTATTATTATTATTATAATTATCATAAATTTAATAGTTAACTTTTCTTGTATAAGTCATAATTTTACATTTCGAAACATTCAGACTGAGACAGTTTCATGAACACCATGACGAAATTAGAGCTAAGTCATCTTGCAACATGACGCAATCCTCGACTGTCTTGACTGACGTGCAGATTTTAAGGTCATCAGCGAAAAATAAATGGAAACACTTCAGTTCGAAAGACAAGTCATTAATAAATATTAAAAACAATAATGGACCTAGATTTGACCCTTGAGGTACCCTAGACGTGGCCCGACAGTAACTCGACCTATGACCACCATATTCGACAAATAACCTTCTATCCCTCAAATATGAATTCATGAGCGACAGCATTGCATCAGACATTCCCACTGTTTTAAGCTTGTCCAGAAGTGCATAATGATCAACTTGATCAAACGCCTTCTGAATATCTGTGTAGATGACATCAACTTGTCCCTGACCGTCCAGTACTTCAGAAATGTACTGAGTAATCAGAGCCAAGTTGGTGACCGTAGATCTGCCTCTCATAAACTCATGCTAATTAATAGAGACCTCACCCCTGACCGAGAAGTAAACCGTTTCATAAGCGGTGATTTCAAACAACTTGCTGAAATTGCACAGGATTGCTATTTGGCGATAGTTGGAAATATCAGAGATATCTCCACTTTTGTGAATAGGACATATTTTAGAGGTCTTCCAGATATTTGGATATGTCTCTGATTTTAGAATTAGGTTGAATATGGAAGCCAGCGGTTTCGCTAGAATATGAATGCAATCTTTAACGACAAAACTTGGAACACCATCACATCCAGACGTCATTTTGTTCTTTAATCTTTTCGAAGCCCTAATTACGTTTTCTTCACTTATATTTTTTAAAGAAATGATATCGGTAGAATTATTTGTTGGAGGAGATGACCCTAGTAGACCAGACGGGATAAAAACTGTTGAAAAGAAGGTAGCAAAACTGTCCACTATATCCTGAGGCGTATAGCAGACATTGCCGTTAAGCGTCATCCTTGGGGGGATTCTAGATTGCTGAAACATTCAGACTGAGACAGTTTCGTGAACACCATGACGAAATTAGCGCTAAGTCATCTTGCAACATGACGCAATCCTCGACTGTCTTGACTGACGTGTAGATTTTAAGGTCATCAGCGAAACACAAATGGAAACACTTCAGTTCAAAAGATAAGTCATTAATAAATATTAAAAGCAATAATGGACCTAGATTTGACCCTTGAGGTACCCCAGACGTGGTCCGATAGTAACTCGACCTATGACCACCATATTCGACAAATAACCTTCTATCCCTCAAATATGAATTCATGAGCGACAGCATTGCATCAGACATACCCACTGTTTTAAGCTTATCCAGAAGTGCATAATGATCAACTTGATCAAACGCCTTCTGAATATCTGTGTAGATGACATCAACTTGCCTCTGACCGTCCAGTACTTCAGAAATGTACTGAGTAATCAGAGCCAAGTTGGTGACCGTAGATCTGCCTCTCATAAAGCCATGCTGATTAATAGAAACTTCACCCCTGACCGAGCAGTAAACCGTTTCATAAGCGATGATCTCAAACAACTTGCTGAAAGTGCACAGGATTGCTATTTGGCGATAGTTGGAAATATCAGAGATATCTCCACTTTTGTAAATAGGACATATTTTAGAGGTCTTCCAGATATTTGGATATGTCTCTGATTTTAGAATTAGGTTGAATATGGAAGCCAGCGGTTTCGCTAGAATATGAATGCAATCTTTAACGACAAAACTTGGAATACCAGCACATCCAGACGTCATTTTGTTCTTTAATCTTTTCGAAGCCCTAATTACGTTTTCTTCCCTCATATTTTTTAAAGAAATGATATCGGTAGCATTACTTGTTGGAGGATATGACCCTAGTAGACCAGACGGGATAAAAACTGTTGAAAAGAAGGTAGCAAAACTGTCCACTATATCCTGAGGCGTATCGCAGACATTACCGTTAAGCGTCATGCTTGGGGGATTCTAGATTGCTGTTTTTTGTTCTGGGCGAATGACCAGAATTTGCTAGGATCATTGACAATGGCATCCTCAACCGATTGGACGTAAGCGAAGTAGGCAACACTGATCTAGTTCTTAATGAGCTTCTTAAAATTACTGAACTGATCATAAGAAAACTTAGTACCGTCACGTTTCCAGTTCCTTCTTGCTATGTCCTTCTTCTTGATATTAAGTAGATATAATTTCACGTGTGAACCATGGGGGATTCGAAAACATTTTACTTTTACATTTAGGGACATGGACCTCAGAGATGTTATTGATAACTGAATACAAGGCGGTACAAGCGACATCAACATTAACTGCACTGATCACCTCCGTCCAATTAACATCTTGCAAAGCTGTGTACATTTCAGGAAAGTTAGCTTTGCGAAAGTTAAACCGTGGAGAATTAGCAAATGGGAATTTCGTTGGAGATCCGGATGTAATGAATTCCATGATCAGTGCAGGATGATGAACCTCCTCTTTAACAGAAGGTGTATTATCCCTGAGGACTTGTATTTCGATATTTCCTAAAATTAAATCCAGTATTCGACCATTTATATTTGGAATATTATTAAAATTAGTTAAACCTAAAAACGAAATAAAGTTGCTCATTAATTGAGACTTCTGATCATTAACGTCACTGTTGAATGATGCGACATTAAAGTCACCAGCAACAATTATTTTACAATTACTGAATGCATTGTTAAATACTTCCAAAGCTTCAAGGTACTGACCAAACATGTCCAAATTAATTGAAGGCGGAATATAAATAGAAAAGATAACAAAATGCTCATGGTTAATAATAAGTATACAGTATCAATCGACGGAAAGTTTCGACTCAAAGCACTAGCGTCAATTCTAATTGCATGGAAATCGCGTTTTATGGCTATCAGGACTCCTCCGCCGGAAACTACAGTATATTCAGATAAGAGATAGACCGGATGTAAACAAAAGGTTCGGGTGATTTTCACGCTAACGCCGCCGTCTCGACGTAAAACAGGAGCCCTCATTGGTCAATTCGCAATTAAATGCCTATGCCGAGCGGCAGAGCAGTCGTATCAAGGCAGAGTCACATTCAGGTTCAGACGTGTTACGTATGTCGTGTGCATCATTGCAATTTGATATTTCTTTGGACGTTTTCGTTTGTTATCTTATTAAGTTGTTGAGTTTGTCGTTGTTATTGTTATACCTTGTTATTGATTGTTATTGTTATCAACTGCTTGCGCAAAATGCCCAGTAGTACAGATACTGCCGATGAAGTTGTAAACTCCTGTAGTCCACCTAGGAAACGCTCTAAAAAAGACACCTGAGGGCAGAAATGAAAGAGGTCATTTTGAATATATATATAAGATCGAGCGCGAGGAGAACGAGGCATCAACCATCAAAGAAATTGTTGTGAAGGTTTCTCACAAAGTTGGGGTGTGTCGCGCATCAGTGTTTAATGTGTTAATACAAAAAAAATCACACCTTTTCTGAGCCAATGACCAGTAAACATCGCAAAAGTATTGTTAAATCATTGGATGAAGCTGATAAGCATGCGATTAGGAGGAAAGTGCATGAATTCTTCTTTAGGAATGAAATACCTACTATAGATAAAGTACTGCAGGAGGTAAATGGAGATACAACGTTGCCAAATTTCAAACGATCAACTTTCCATGCGTTACTGAAGCATTTAAATTTCAAATGGAAAAAACGGGGTCGTAATAGTTTACTACTGGATAGAGAAGAAATTGTGCTATGGAGGAGGGATTATTTAACAAAAATTGGGAAATATAGAAATCAAAACAGGAAGATTTATTACCTTGATGAAACGTGGGTAAACGCAGGACACACTACAAGTAAAGTATGGGTTGATGATTCTGTAACTTCATCCAGGAGGGCCTTTCTAGATGGACTGTCCACCGGATTAAAAAATCCAGCAGGTAAATACGAGTAATAGACAACAATCGGATGTTTTTCAAACCTTGAGAACAAGGTTCTAAACATTAATTCCAGGGGGCAGATAAAACATATTACAAGTAACAAAACTTTTATAACTTTCGATAAAATGCTTGGGTGTTTTATTGTCATTTTTATTTGTTAGAACTTTTTTAAGCCATGTTTTTATGTGTTTTCGATATTTCAATAATTTTTTAATATAATCTTAAAATATGTCGAATATTATAAACTTAAAAAAAGTTACTAAGTTTTATATTGTGTACCGTTCCTAATATTTCTAATCATTTGAATTCATACTTTAAGCTTTATAAAGTTATAATTTGTTAATATTAATATTTGCGCGTATTTCAGGTTCCTGATCATTCATTTTTTAAAGGTTTATAACTTTAAATTAAATTGTGAAGCGCTGAGTAATCATACGACGTTCAATATTCTTTCTTTCAATATGACTATATAATCCCAATTATAGCAATCTGATACTCATGTCTCAATGTTTTTTCGCTGAATGTGATGAAAACATTTGAAAAAGGTTCGCTTATTGAAATAAATCTACACCAGTTAGTACTTCGATTTCCAGGTAAAGGGAAAAGGCTCATTATCTGCCATATTGGCAGTGAGGATGGATTTGTTGTTGACGGTCTGTGGTGCTTTGAGTCTAAGAAAACTGGAGATTACCACGAGGAAATGAATGGCGAATCGTTTGAACAGTGGTTTTCAAAAATTTTACCGAACTTAGAGGAATACGCGGTAATTGTGTTGGATAATGCGCCTTATCATTCTCGAAGAATGGAGAAGGTCCCAACAACGGCTTCAAGGAAAGTTGATGTTCAAAATTGGCTCCGCTCGAAAAATATCAACTTTGAAGAAGCAATGCTGAAAGTACAATTATTAAGATTTGTCAAGGATCACAAGGCGGAATATCAAAAATACGCCATTGACGAAATGGCAGCAAGTCAAAATAAAACTGTGCTCCGTTTACCTCCATACCATTGCGAGCTCAATCCCATTGAGCTCATATGGTCAGTGGTTAAAAATTATATAGCAAAGCACAATACAACTTTTAAATTTTCGACCTCAAAGGACTTTTCAAAGAAGCACTAGAATTAATAACAGCGCAAAAAGGGGAAAACTGTATTAAGTACGTGAAAGACAAAGTTGAAAAGAGAATGTGGGAACTGGACAATATTTTAGAGGAACAAGTCGAGCCATTCATTATTGACGTTGGTGCTTCAGGCAGTAGCGATGATGAAAGCTCATCAAGCTCATCTTTCCAATAAAAGATGTCGTTCATCAAATTCGGTAAGTTATAAGTAATTATAAAGCTACTGTATTTTTTAATTAATTATTGATATTTTTGAACCCATTTTGGCAAAACCTATTCAAGAATCTACTTTCTGACAATGTTCAACCATGCACATTTTTTTACGTTTTGAACGTTTTAATTTGGTTACATATTTACCTAGAAATCAAAAAATATACTAATCAATATTCTAAAAGCAATTTTAAGAGATATACGATTATTTTTAATTTAGGCTAATTTAAACGCCATTTTGAGATTATATTCGACTGTATTTCACCAAACATCAGGCGGCATCCGAAGCTGGAAATCGAAGCGAAAATTTTGAAGCCCTTATTGATATTTACATCATTATATATTTCTTACCCCACCCCCACATGGTCCTATATCCATCACCAATCGTATACAAAGTTACGCAAAGCAGCATCTAGTATCTAAAATATGTACTGCGTGACTCTTAATACGTCCCTGCCGAATGTTACAGCGTTCGATGATCACGTGGTCTTGTTTATGTCCGGTCTATCTCTTATCTGAATATACTGTAGGCCAGATCGAATAAAGTCACGATCACATCTGAACACACAGTATTCAGCCGGAAATAATTCACTATCACTCACATTCACAGACAGCCACGTCTCAGTTGCTAGATTTAAATAAAAAAAGAGGATATGCGTATCTCAATTTGAACAAAAATATGTTTCCTCTCGTAGGCTGGGGCACTATTTATAAGATTTCCTTTAGAAATTAACATATATTTACGCAATTCCATTTTGACAGTCCTGCACGAATTTCTGGGTGACGTTTGTTGCAAGTACAGTGGGCGATAAGTGGAACAAAATATTATTCGACTATATTTACAGGTCTAGTATTTTGATGGAATAAGACCATGGTAATTCCTGATCTTTTCCTAGAACGAACGTTTCTCCAGAACTTACCTCTACAATAGCTTGTGACGAAAGCCCCCCTTTATCTGTAGCTTGCACAGTGAGACTGTACTGTTCTCCGGCGTGCAGTTTTCCAATCGCGTCGATTTGGCCGGTGTGAGGACTGATGGTGAATTTTTCATTTCCGTTGTTAGATACGTGATAGATGGAGTACTTTATCCTTGCATTTTCACCTGCAATTACGCAAAAATCTAAATAGCTGAGCCTCCACATATAGAAAATCACTTGAATAAGTAATCTCCCTATGGAGGATCAATTTTAGAATTAATTTTTGGATTACATCAACCTTTTTGTAATTATTATTCGTAACTCCCCCTCAAGCCAAAATTCCGCAAAGTAATATAGATTATATAGATATTTCTTATCTAGAATATCTCTGAAGTACCTGAATTTTGGAATAATACATCTCAGTCTCTTCACAAGGTACTCTGTATGGGAATCCCATTTTAAGTGTTTGTCCTAAATCACGCCTAAGTGTTTTATTTTATCGGCTGACTGAATCTCTTTGAGACCACTGCTTGTATGGACTTCAAGTTTTTTAAACTGTGGTGAGAGCCTGTCGTTACAAGAAAATGCTATATAGTGTGTTTTGTTGTAATTAATAGTCATAGTTCTTTCCGAAAAGAAATTTATAAACGTTTTGAAATCATGTTCGATTGTGGTTTTTAGTGTATGCCACTGGTTGCTTTCATAGAGAACACTGATCAACAGCCAAAAAATATCCTAAATAAAATCAACAAAATATTACTATTTTTAATGTGCTAAAACCGGAATGAAACTTATTTTTTCAATATTACTCCACTAATAACACAGGCATATCAGCTTTATTTCGGTTGTAAACTAGGTGATCAAGACAAACGGCGGGCACCCCACATCTGCTGTAATACATGTGCTTCAAGTCTGAGGAGCTGGTTAAATGGCAAAAAACGGTCTATGCGCTTTGCTGTCCCAATGGTTTGGAGAGAGCCTATAAATCATATTAATGAATGTTACTTTTGCATGGTACCTTGTGTTGGACAAGCCACAGGTATGTCCAAGAAAAAAAAATCGGTTATTAACTACTCAAACATACCATCTGCGATGAGACCTGTGCCTCACAATGACGAAAATCCTATTCCAAAACCCCCAGAATCCTACACTTGCGAATCAGAAAACGAATCAGATCATGGCGATCGAGTGATTCGTCAGGAAGAAGATATGCCATCAACGTCAAGAGATCCTGATTTTATACCGAGCACGTCATGCCACCAACCGCACAAAATAACACAGTCAGAATCACATGATCTTGTAAGAGATTTAGTTACTTCCAAAATGCAAGGCAAAGTTACTTGGATCAAGACTGCAGCAGTGGAACTTGTTAGAAGACGATGTTTCGGTATGTGTTTTTCGTAAACGCCACAAAGACTTAGAACCATTTTTCAATATGGAGAATAACTTGATTTTCTGCAGTAACATTAACGGCTTACTGGCGGCTTTAAATATAAACTATAACCCAGAAGAATGGAGATTGTTTATAGACAGTTCAACATTGAGTTTAAAGGCAGTGTTGGAAATATTTTACCATCTCTTCCTGTAGGGTATGCAGTTCACATAAAAGAATCATATGACAATATGAAGTACCTATTGACATGCATAAAATACGATGAGCACCAATGGCATATTTGTGGCGATTTGAAAGTTGTTGCACTTTTACTTGGGCTGCAGCTAGGCTACACAAAGTCTTGCTGTTTTTTGTGTGAATGGGACAGTCGGGCAAAGGCACTTCATTACACCAGACAAAACTGGCCTGTTCGTCAATTCCTAGAGCCAGGTCAAAAAAATGTACAGCATATGCCATTAGTAGATTCGAAAAAAAATTTATTACCACCACTGCATATCAAGTTGGGCCTAATGAAAAACTTTGTCAAGGCATTAGATAGAGATGGGTCAGCTTTTCAATACCTGCGTCAGAAATTTCCAAGACTAAGTGAGGCAAAGGTTAAAGAAGGTATTTTTGTTGGGCCACAGATTCGAAATATTTTGAAAGATACACAGTTTGAAAACACTTTAACAGGTGTTGAAAAAACTGCTTGGAATGATTTCCGTCTGGTGGTCACTAATTTCTTGGGAAGTAGAAAAGCTGACAACTATAAAACCCTTGTCAAAAATATGGTGTCATCGTATCAAAAGATGGGCTGTAATTTGTCTCTTAAGATACATTTCCTACACTCACAAGTGGACTTTTTTCCTGACAATTGCGGAGCCGTAAGTGATGAGCACGGCGAACGTTTTCATCAGGATATTTCAACAATGGAAAAAAGGTACCAGGGAAAGTGGAATCCTTCCATGCTTGCAGACTACTGTTGGACTCTTGGTAGAGATGCTCCAGAAACGATCCATAAAAGAACAGCAAAAAGACAGCGCATATAGTGATTCTTATAAGTATATGAATCTTGTTACATTTTTTAATATATCCTTAAAAATAAAAAGTTTTTTTTCTAAACCGCAACTATTTTTTTTATTTCATTGTCATTTTTGGATTCAGCGCCCCAAAATTAACAAAGAAGTGCACTTTTCCCACAAGATACAATTAAAAAACTAAAATTTGTTGTCCAGTGTATGTATCATCCGCAAAACCGATAAGTTTACCTGTACTACTTATTTTGAACAAATCGTTGATAAATAGATTAAATAAAACGGGTCCTAATACTGAATCTTGAGGTACACCGTATGATATAATATGGGGTTCACTGAATGTGTTATTAATTTTGACGCACTGTGTTCGATTTGACAAATATTTTTCTATAAGTTTGTATGTTATTCCCCGGAAACCTAAATTTTCTAAAGTTGTTGAAAGCGATTCGTAAGTAATAGAGTCGAATGCCTTTGCCAAGTCAACAGAAACACATGCAGTTGGTTTGCCAATATCGAAATTCGTGTATATTTCACTTGTTAATTTTACAATAGCATCCTGAGCAGATTTGCCTTCTTGAAAACCATATTGCTGTTCCGCTATTAAGTTATATTTTTTTGCAAATTCGGTGAATCGTTTTTTTAACACTTTTTCAAATATTTTAGAAAAATTTGTTAAGATGGAAATTGGTCGATAGTTGATGGGTTTTTCTCTTTCTCCAGATTTAAATAATGGTTTTACCATAGCTCGTTTTAAACATGTAGGGAATATTCCTTTATTCATACAAGAATTTATCAAATATGACAGTATGCCGCAGATGTTGGAATTTATTCTCTTGATAGTATATGCTGTTATATTATCTAGACCTGGAGATTTTCTTAATTTCAATTCATTGATCATTGTCTTTATTAAATGCGTTTCGGTCGGTTCCAGATATAATGAGTTATATAATCTGGTCTTACTATAATTTAATTTCTCCGCGTTTTTTATGTTTTCTGACAACCTTTCCCCGATTTTTGAAAAATATTCACAAAATTCATTTGCTAATTCCACATAATTACTCACTAGTTCACCATTTTCTTTTTTAATTGTACTAATTTTGTTGTTTTGTTTTTTGCCTTGTATTTTATTGATAAATTTTGGACGAACAATTTTGTAGATTATCAAACTCTTCTTGGATATATTTAATTTTAGCCTCTTTAATTATTTTTGTCAGTCTGTTTCGATATGATTTAAAGTCATTCAAAAGTTTAACATCATAAGGATATTTTTTGGTTTCCTTATATAATTCTATTTTTTTGTTGATATCCATGCTTGTCTTTTTATTTATGTTCATGGAATCTTTACTGTTTTGGTGCATTCAGCAATATGTCCTTCAATGCTAGATATAAAAAGGAAAAATGCATTTTCGATATTAGGTTCGTTATATACTACAATCCAATTTTCATTGAGTAAGTTGTTATTTAGTCTTTCACAATCAATGTAAATTTTTGTATTATTCATTGTCTTTTCAATTTTGGTTGATGTACAAGATCGATTTTGAGCAACGTAGGAAAATGATCAGAAATTTTGTAACTAAAAATTGTTGAATATATTTTGTCAAGTTCTAAACGTGAATTTATAAACATATGATCTATACAGCTCCCACTGTTTCCCTCTACTCTTGTCATTTCGTTAATGTTCAGCCATTATATGTAAATAATCTTGAATATTTTGATTGTTATGATCTAGTATGTTAATGTTAAGATCTCCGATGAATAAGTTGATGTCAAATTTTCTACTGCTCTCTAGATAATCATGTAATTGACCGTTAAACGTTGTTACAGATATACAGGGCGATTTTTACACACCAATGATCTGTATCCATTTATTATTCTTTTGAAGAATAACTCGTAAAAGTTTTGTTTGAGTTATATTAATAATTTCATACCCACTGTCTAAATTTTGTCTTACGTAAATCAGAACCCCGTCATTTTTATTAAAACTATCATCGTTATAATATAAATCGTAATTGGGAATTTCGATTAAACTTGTACCATATACTTTACATGTTTCAGTTAGCACTATCACATCAAATTTAAAATCTAAGGGTTGTCCAATAGGGACGCAGGAAAGCAAACGTCAATTTGACATAGACGCCATCTTTGTTTTCTGTCACCGACATGTCATTTTGTTAGTTGAATGTTTACCATTGATCGCTATGGAGTCGTATTCAATTGAGGACCGCATTAAAGTTATTCAAGAGCACTACAAAAATGGTGCAAAAATAAAAAACACGTTTCGTGCGCTTCGTGAACATTTTGGTCGCAACAACCGCCCAAACGAAACAACCATCGGTCGTCTGGTGCGTAAATTCGAGGTAACAGGTTCTGTGGCAAATCTGCCAGGCTCTGGCCGGCCAAGGAGCGTTCGCACACCGGAAAATATTGCTGTTGTGAAGGAGAGTGTGAGAGACGATCCGAAACAATCAACAACGCGTCGATCCCAAGAATTGGGCATTTCGAGAACCAGTTTGCTCCGCATTCTCCACAAGGATTTGAATGTACACGCCTACAAGATCCAATTGACGCAAGAGCTGCGTCGGGCCGACCAGTTGCATCCTCAAAAAGTGACTGTGTGGTGTGCATTGTAGTCAAAAGGCATCATCGGACCTTACTTTTTCGAAAATGCGGCCGGGGACTCCGTTACCGTCAATTCTGAGCGATATCACGTGATGATAGAGGACTATTTTTTGCCACAACTTGAAGGAATAGATATGGACGATGTTTATTTCCAACAAGACGGTGCAACATGCCACACAACCAACGTCAATATCCATCGATTGCAGTCCTTCTTCGGTGATCGCGTGATTTCGCGCAGAGGAAATGTGCCATGGCCACCAAGATCGTGCGATTTGACTCCCTTGGACATCTTTTTATGGGGATATTTGAAAAGCAAAGTCTACGTCAACAAACCCACCAAGAACTCAAAAACAACATCATTGCCGAGATAAATGCCATAGAACCGACCATGTTGCAAAATGACATTGGAAATTTCGACCATCGCGTGGACGTCTGTAAATCCAGTCGTGGTGAACATTTGAGCGATATTATTTTTCATACATAAATGGTATAAATGAACCTTCAAAATAAAGTACCCAACTTGATTTGAATATCAATCTTTCTTGTTTTAATATGCGTTTACTTTCCTGCGTCCGCTATGTCCAACAAGGCATGGAGTTCATTCATATTTCTATGAATGCTCCTTATATTCCTGTGAAAGATGTTCAATCCTGAATCAATATTATTAGAAAAACGTAACTTTGTTGCAGGTAAATCGTCTAAAATAATTGTTTTAATTATTTCAGGTCCAAATTCTGTAATGTATCTACTCATAAATAGTCCTTAGCAATTTAAAATAAAATTCTTGATATATGTCTTTGTTGGAAACATTTAAATACAGCACAACATTTATCCGTAGGGGAGTGATGTGTATTATAGTTTCTATTATATTTTTTGTTTGAGTACACACAGTTGCAACAGACGGGATTAGTAGATTTGTTGCATGAAGTATCATAATGTTCTTCTCCACAATTGAAGCATACTTTATGACTATTGCGTTTCTTACCAGAGTGATTAAACTTGAAGCAATTTGTACATTGAGTAAATACCTTCATCCTTGTCAGTAGCTCGCACTTCCATAACCTTCCGCCTGCCTTCTCCTGCTGGAACTTGGACTTTATATCCTGTGGCTGGAAGCAGGGGAGCGTTGTCGTTTACATCCCTCAGTTTGACAGTTATGGATGCGGGAGCCGAGGCTGCTCCATGTGATTGAGTCGAAGTCGGAGTTTGAACTTCCCGAGCCACGATCTGTAGGAAACAAACCATTGATCCAATTAGACAGGGTGTTTCAGTTTATTGTTGCATAACTTTAAGATTCGATAGAACTTTTAAAATTAAGGCATAAAGTCTATATAAACATGGGTCGAAAATTGCGTGGATTCCGAAATACAGGGTGTTTAAAATAGTTTTTTTTAAATATTTAGAACAATATTTGATGTATAACAGTGAAAATTGGTATACAAGGGTTTTTTGGTACGACAAAACGAACCATAGTTTTACTGTAGCCGCTAGAGGGCGCTCTCTACTGTACCTGTAGTGTATTAAAATGACCGAAAATTTTTTCTTAGTGCAATTTTTTGCTTTTTGAATAAAAAAACTGATTCTTTGCACTTTTCAACATAAAAAAGCTCTCCTGTGAGTTTTCGTTATAGTTAGCCGTTTTTGAGATATTTCGATTTTTAAGGTTCGATGCATTTTTAATTTTAATATTTATGGGAAAATAATATTTTTTTTTACATTTTCGATTTGGGCATTACAAGTAATTAAGATGATCGTCTAGATTGTGTTTTTAAACACAGCAATAATTCCTAACTCCAAATAAACACAAAAAACAGAATATTAATTTGTTTAATTTTCCAATATTATTTTTAACAAATTAAATTAATTATTTACAACTAAAATGCTATTGGATAGTTAGGACAAACATACAAAATCTAAAGTACTTGCTCGAAATGTAAACCCAATTGTTCAATACACAATTCACATCTACGAATGATCGAACGTGGTATAGCATTATTCAAATAAGGCCTTATTTCATCACATGCATTCCTGATTCTGTCTATTAGCATATCTCTTGTGGTTACGGGAGTCTGGTACACTTTTTCTTTTAGAAATCCCCACACAAAGAAATCTAATGGATTTAGGTCACGGGATCGTGGAGGCCAGGCGACTGGTCCTCCACGGCCGATCCATCTTTCTGGATAATTTTCGTCCAGCCAGTTTCTAACTATTCTCGAATAATGAGCTGGACAACCATCAAGCTGGAACCAGGCCGATCTTCTTAAATCTAACATAACATCATCCCACATATTTGCATATTCAGCCTTTAAAAATTCCAAGAAGGTCGCAGCATTTAACCTTGCTTGCAAAAGGTAGGGTCCAAATAGTCGATTACGGTAGATACCAATCCACACGTTCACACTAAATTCATGCTGAAAATTTCTTTCCCGAACTGCATGCGGATTTTCATGCGACCAAATATGTTGATTATGAAAATTTACCACTCCACGTCTAGTGAAGCATGACTCATCGGTCCATAAAACGTTACTTAAAAACACCCTATTATTATCAGTTCTATCAAGAATCCACAGACAAAATGTTATTCTTCGTTTTCCGTCCCCTGGCTGTAGTCCTTGCACAGGTTGCAAAAGGTAAGGACGTCTATGGTCATTTCTAAGAACACGGTGAACATGGCTTGCTGAAATTCCCAAGGCACCAGAAACTAACACTAACACTTGTGGTCGGATCTCTCTCAAACTCACGCAGAATCGTACGGGTAAATCTGCGCTGACGAACATTTATGTTTTGATCCCTTTGGAGATCTCCAAAACCATTTTCAATTATTTGGCGATGCACTCTTACAAATACTGAGCGAGTTGGATGTCGTCTGTTTGGAAATCTTCGTGCGTATTCTCTGGCTGCTTCTGCTGCGTTTCCATTTACAAAGCCATACACAAAATGAATATCCGCTAACTCTTGATTGGAGAATAAAAATGGCATTTTTATAAAACTTACAAAAAAAAACAGGTAAAAGAAACTAAATTTCGTGCATTCACGATCGCAAAAAAACGTTTTAGGTTTCAACAGACAACAAAACTAACTGTCAACTAATTGACGTTTAACCTTATTCTGCTTTCAATTCCAAAAATATTTGCAGGCACAGCCTACTTCTAAAAATTATCGAGATAGTGACTTTTTAACGTTATCATAAATAATTAAAAATGCATCGAACCTTAAAAATCGAAATATCTCAAAAACTAAACACTAAGAAAAAAATTTCGGTCATTTTAATACACTACAGGTACAGTAGAAAGCGCCCTCTAGCGGCTACAGTAAAACCATGTCCATGGTTCGTTTTGTCGTACCAAAAAACCCTTGTATACCAATTTTGACTGTTATACATCAAATATTGTTCGAAACATTTAAAAAAAACTATTTTAGAAAGTAAATTTATACACCCTGTATCTCGGAAGCCACGCATTTTTCGACCCATGTTCATATAGACTTTATGCATTAATTTTAAAAGTTCTATCGAATGCAACAATAAACTGAAACACCTAACTTATCGAGATAAAATTTTACATGCATCATTTATTTATAAATGCGTGACATTTTGACCATGTTCGAGAAAGATCATTACAACTGATCGAGTGCTCCCATACATTGGGAAATGTCAAGACAAGACCAATAGGCTCTTTTGCAGGTTTGTATTTGCACGTATAGCAGATTAATAAAGATTTTTGCATCTAATTCACTTTTTCGCGTCTTCAGAATCAATCAGAAAGTCTAAAACTGTATATGATGAACCTCAAATGTTTTACCTGGAATTTCAACACTGCAGGATTTGGAGGATCTCTGTCCAATTTGCTGTCGGCTACAACGAGCTTTTTGGTCGCAGGGTCTACAGAAAAATACGGAGTGGTAAGCTCGAAGGTATACGCTGGCCTTGGGTCTGCGGGTCCCTGTCCCAAAAAATTTAGATTATTGTAATATTTCTTTTAACAGCATTTTGTTAAGAATAGAGTATGGATCATACAGGTTGATATACTGAAATGTAGTTAAAGCGCTAGTCCACCAGGATTGCCTCGCCAATCAAACCACATGTGCTCAATATTCTTCTTTATTGTTGTCGGTTTCAACGGTGACCTCCTTCAGTACAATTGACACTTTTTGAAAGTACATTTTATTTGTCTGTCTTCCAGGACACTTGGTTTGATTATACTTCACATTTCTAAACAGTGTATTACTGCAACAGTCAGAAAGGTTCTATAATACGTTGAGCTTTCGTGAAGTCATCATTCCAAATTAAACCAGCGTAGCTCCCAAAAGGACCTCCAGGCCTCCAAAACGACAAGCGACCATGAGGTAACATATCGTTTCTGAATGTATCAGATCGTGCGTCGTTTCGGAAACGTGGAAAAAAATAACACAAGACCCACCCAGAACTGTTTTCCTAACACACCGGTTAATATTGTGCTATCTTCGACTAAAAAGCTGCTATTGCATTGTTTATCATTCTGAAACGCGAGAAATAGTATTTTAAAGGAACCATGTTATTTGTCCTGCGAGAAAATAATATAAGACACAACAATTTGTTCCTTGTTCCTTAATGCTATGCGAATAATTATAGGTTCTTTACCAAATAAAAATTATTTTTGAACTTCGAATTCAAATCAAAACGAATAAGCTTGCAAAATTTGTAATTTAATTGGAAAAATTAGACATATTAGGGGTAATGAACAACAGCAATTGACAACATAAACATAACATTTAAAAAAAGGAAATGATTACAAAAATTGTTGAAAATGGCCCCGTTCACTTAGTATGAATGCTTCCGGCCTCCTTCTCATGTAATTGCGCACTCGTTGAAATATCCCTGGAGTGTTTTTTATTCTATCACAAGCTGCAACTATTCTTTCTCTTAATTCCTCTAATGGGACTTGCGTACACTAGTGTCTTAAGATAGACACATAAAAAGAAATCTAAACTGTTGAGGTCTGGGGACCTTGGTGACCATTTTTGGGGCCCACCGCGGCCAATTCAACGATTTGGATAAACAAATTGCGGATTTTGTGTAATTTTTTGAAGGTACAACTGACGAAAGGTGACACGCATTTGAAAATCAGTGGGAAGTAACGCCTGTACTCTTAAAATATGGTAAGAATATAACAAAAAATCCAGTAAAACTCTCCAAACAATTTGATGGCAAATGTTTAAGTGTCTAGCGGTCTTCCTCATACTCGTTTCAGGATGTTCTTCGACTTCGTGCAGCACTGCTTCCTCAATTTCAAGTGTTCTCACACTTAGATGTCTACCTTCAGATGTTCCTTTTCGGACAGAACCAGTTTCAACAAGACGACGATGAATATTAGAAAAGGTTCGACTGTCTGGAAAAGCACGATCGGGATATCTCTGGTGATAAATCCGTCTGGCTTGCTCACCATTATCGTCGGCAAGGCCATACACGTAATGCATTTCCGCCATTTCTGCATTTGAATAATTCATTTTTTTTACTCAAAAATGGCGCATTGAAGGAAAGCAACTAAAAATAATACTATATACAACCTACAGATGAAAACTGCATTGGAACTGAGATTGATAGAAATGAAGTTATTGACATACTTATCCGTCATCGCGAAAATGTTCACGCCGATAATCTTCATATCAGAATTTAGAAAACAAATCATACTTACAAAATCTCTATCTTCAACTGTCACAGTCAGAGGATTTCCGTATGCGTCTACTACAACCTCGCCAATTGGCGAGTTTTCATCGACAAATCCTTCTTTGGCCGACAGACTTATTTCTGGTGGATGCGAGTCCACTGGCTTCACGTTAATGAAGAGCTTTGCTGTGGTAGACCGTTTGGCTTCCGATACCTCTTGAGCCTGCAAAGGAAAGATGCTTCTGTAACCTGCTAATCGATGCTACATTCTCAAAAGAATTGAAAGATCTGTAAACTGCATATAGGTCAAGCAATCGTGATACATAGTTCCTATTAAAGGATCTTCTACCTCTTGGTTTAGTACTTATCCCTAGTGACACATCCTTATGTGGAGGGTGTGATCAAGAAGATGAGACAATTAAGCTCAAGCTGTGTGACTGCTCAGCTGTTCTAAGAATCCAAGAATCCATTCTGGAGGAACCTAGGCATTTCGTCGCTAGCGTGTGTCACCAAGCGTCACCACGGTTTTCAGTAGTGTGAAGTGGTTCATGATCCAGTCCTAAGTGACCTCAGGGGCGCTCTATACAGAATACAGAATAGTGCCTGTCCAGTCTCTTAAGTCAAGATATGCGGCAGCATTTTAGTCCTGGATCAGTTAGATGCTACTGATGTGAAAGACGTCAAAAGAAAGACATAGAGGAAAGCTGCTTCTATAACCTGCTAATGAATGCTACGTTCTTAAAAAAATACAGGGTGTCCGCAAAGTTGGGGTTTTCCTTTACGCGACGTGTAGATCTTGGAAACATAAGCAATTTTTCTTAGTACCATATACACCAATGTCTTAAGGGAACCGAGATAAAGGGCTCTGCAACATCAAAGATATCTGAATACCACCCTGTAGCCGCGACCCGCGACATCCCCGAGTGGTACTAGGACACTAGCTCAACCCGACGACAGAACTGGGTCAATGTGTCAGGTCAGTATGCAACTTTCAACCGACGGTTACGGTCACGCGTGTAGAGGTAATCGCGTAGACTAGAATCCCTCAACAAGCACTAGAGACGTGGCTAGAGAAGTGCAAGTATTAAAAACTAAAGTGTGGCAAACGCTGCGTGAAGAGGGGCTGTATCCGTTTCAAGTCCAACGTGTACAAGCCCTTCAACCTGACGATTTTCCAGCAAGAGTGCGATTTTGTGAGTGGTTGTTGCATCAACATGACAATAATCCGGACTTTTTGGAGTGCATATTGGTGACAGACGAATCTACGTTCACGCGTAATGGGGTGAATAACTTTCGCAACACTCATGTTTGGTCAGTAGAAAATCCGCACGCTGTCCGTCGGGCACATTTTCAACAAACATTTTCGGTGAATGTTTGGGAGGCATGGTGAACGGTATGCTCATTGGACCATCTATTCTCCCAAATCGATTGGACGGGATGCAATACCTAGACCTTTTACGCAACATTTTGCCTTCCTTGTTTGCCTGCGTCTGCTCGGTAGCGCATCAGCTGATTTCATTTTCTGTTGGAGCGGTATGATTTCGGGCAGAGACGTACTTAGCCCTTCTCGTCAACTGGAGAGTGAGTACTTTTTCCTTTATTTTTTTTTACTTGGTCGCCCTCGTTTCACTACACATTACCTTTGTTATTTCAAGAGTAGTTGTTTCTGCTGAGCAGTCACACAGCTAGTGCTTGATTATCTCATCTTCTTGTTCACACCCACCAGATAAAGATGTGTCACTAGGGGCAGGTACGAAACCAAGAAGTAAAAGGTCCTTTAATAGGAACTATATACAGGGTGTCCGCAAAGTTGGGGTTTTCCTTTTCAGAAACAACTACCCTTGAAACAACAAAGGTAATGTGTAGTGAAACGAGGGCGACCAAGTAAAAAAAAATAAAGGAAAAAGTACTCACTCTCCAGTTGACGAGAAGGGCTAAGTACGTCTCTGCCCTAAATCATACCGCTCCAACAGAAAATGAAATCAGCTGAAGCGCTACCGAGCAGACGCAGAAACCACATTGATTGTCTTATACTTAATGGCACATCTTCTAACAAGGAAGGCAAAATGTTGCGTGAAAAGTCTAGGTATTGCATCCCGTCCAATCGATTTGGGAGAATAAATGGTCCAATGAGCATACCGTTCACCATGCCAGCCCAAACATTCACCGAAAGTGTTTGTTGGAAATGTGCCCGACGGAGAGCGTGCGGATTTTTTACTGACCAAGCATGAGCGTTGCGAAAGTTATTCACCCCATTACGCGTGAACGTAGATTCGTCTGTCACCAATATGCACTTCAAAAAGTCCGGATTATTGTCATGTTGATGCAACAACCACTCACAAAACCGCACTCTTGCTGGAAAATCGTCAGGTTCGAGGGCTTGTACACGTTGGACGTGAAACGGATACAGCCTCTCTTCACGCAGCGTTTGCCACACTTTAGTTTTTGATACTTGCACTTCTCTAGCCACGTCTCTAGTGCTTGTTGAGCGATTCTCGTCTACGCGATTACCTCTACATGCGTGACCGTAACCGTCGGTTGAAGGTTGCATACTAACCTGACACACTGACTCCGACCCAGTTCTGCCGTCGGGTTGAGACCTTGTACCAGTCGGGCATATCGCGGCTACAGGACGCTATTCAGATATTTTTGATGTTGCAGGGCCCTTTATCTCGGTTCCCTTAAGACATTGGTGTATATGGTACTAAGAAAAATTGCTTACGTTTTCAAGATCTACACGTCGTGTAAAGGAAAACCCCAACTTTGCGGACACCCTGTATAGTTCCTATTAAAGGACCTTTTACTTCTTGGTTTCGTTCCTGCCCCTAGTGACACATCTTTATCTGGTGGGTGTGAACAAGAAGATGAGATAATCAAGCACTAGCTGAGCGACTGCTCAGCTGTTCTAAGAATCCAAGAATCCATTCTGGAGGAACCTAGGCATTTTGTCGCTAGCGTGTGTCACCAAGCGTCACCACGGTTTTCAGTAGTATGAAGTGGTTCATGATCCAGGCCTAAGTGACCTCAGGGGGGCTCTATACAGAATACAAAAAAATGTCTATCTTCAATAGATGTCGGCCGATTTTGTTCTGTTGACCGTCGTTGTTAAACATGTCCACTGCCAAGGCTCTTAAATCAAGATATGCAGCAGCATTTTGGTCCTGGATCAGTTAGATGATACTGGCGTGAAAGACGTCAATAGAAAGTCGTAAAGATAGGAAATTATCGTCGGCAACATATCCCAAAGCACCTTTTATATTGGGTAGGCCTACACAAGTTTGTATGGTTGTTGGTATGAACTCGGTAACCATACCTAGAAAAAAAGAATTACAGTTGAAGATACAACCAGCGTTTTGGTGTATTTATCCAAATGACCAAACTTGTATCAGTAAAATGCTGTAACCATTCATTAACAGACCATGTTTCGTGGTGATTGATTGATTTTGTTTTGACCCCATATGGAAACCAAAAAAACTTAAAGCTGAAGACTGAGTAACTGATGTCGTATAAAGTATAGGTTATTCTATCCTTCTCAATGTTGCCTCACCTTGATGATGATGCTGAATTTTTTCGCGGTCGTGGTATCTACAGGTTTGATCTGATGCACTGTGCCTGAATCAGGATCTATCTTGAAATAATCCGTATATGAAGCTGGTTCTCCACTGACGAATGAATATTTAATAGGGGAGTTAACTGTATCCATATCCACAGCTTGGATTTTTTCTGGGTGGATGTTGAGTACCCCATGAAGAACTCCACTTGAGACCTGGAAATTGAGGGATTAAAATAAAGTAAATATTAACTCTCAAACTTTGAATTAATGTATTTATAGGCGTCTATTATGTTACTAAGGTGTCATGTCCGTCGGAATATATTACGAGTCATTTGCAAGGATTCAATATTTTAATCACTGGCGTTCTGTTTCTCAGGAATTTTTAATGAAACTTATACGGTGTGACTAGAAGGAAATTGAGGCTAACCGCATTGATATCAGTTCCAGTTACATTCGATTTACTAATTATGGGATAACTCATGCCGATCCCAGAAATTCGTTGACTTCTGTTCAATAGTTAGAACGTGTCATGTTAACCTTGGATCTTTGATTTTGATGTCGTGTTCAGGGGCCAACGCAATGGAAGAAAAAGGGGTGATTTTATTCTGATGAGTAAAAAAGTTAGGAACAATATATGGAGATGCCGTTTCCACCAGCTCGTATAGGCATCATTTAACATTTTATTGGTAAAAATAATCATACCAATGCATTTAATTTTGTGAGAAAATTAACCATTTCTCGAAGGTCGAAAAAAGCCTTCCAGCGGCAACATGTGAAACTAACAAAACTTAAAATACTACAATACTTGTAGCCCAAAAATAGCTGTTTTCAACTAGGATAAGATTGTTGAAATCGGCCCAACCGTTTCGTAAGTATCTTTAACTGAATCCAACCAATAAACTGAACGACTTTAGTTTAGAGATACAGCAAAAAGTCTTATTTATTATAAACTAAGTGACATATAAATCCGAACACCCAGTTTAAATGGTTTTATTTTAATAAAAGTTGGTGAATGTATTTATCTTACTGTAAATAACAAGTGAAAAAATGTTCAGCCTTATCAGTTAGACATTCCGGTTTTTATACTGCTTTTTTTTAATTCACTAACGCTCTAAAAATGAATATTTCAGCCGCAGTAAAGAATCAACGTTGGCGGATTTTGTTTTTTGACATCCTTTACGATCGGTTACGATGCCTAGAGTACGGAGACCTGTACGATTTCGTCAACTTAGTGAGTTTGATAGGGGCCGTATAGTGGGACTTCGGGAAGCTGGACTTTCTTTTCGGGCAATTGCAGTTAGAGTGCAAAGAAGTGTAGACACTGTGGTTAGGTGTTGTCAGGCATGGCTTCGAGAAGGCCGTACGCAAAGAGCAAGGGGCACTGGACGCCGCCGTAGAACAACATACCGTGAAGATCGCCGCCTAAGATTATTGGCCTTAAGGGACCGTTTCTCCACTACCAGGTCCATTGCAAATGAATGGTTTGCAGAACACGGAAGACCTATTGGCATGCGAAGTGTTTACCGACGAATGAGAAGTTTTGGCTTGTTTTCATACCGGCCACACTGGGTCCTCCCTTTAACTCGAGAACACCAACGTAATCGCCTTGAATGGTGCACACAACGATCACTCTGTGATCAGGAATGGAACAGTATTGTCTTTAGTGACGAGTCTCGATTTTGTTTAGACATGCACGATGGTCGTGCCAGGGTTAGAAGGCGACGTGGTGAAAGAAGGAATCCACAGTTTTTTGTTGAAAGACATGTTCATCACACTGTTGGAGTTATGGTTTGGGGTGCTATAGCTTATGGTTGCAGGTCACCTTTAATCTTCATCAGAGGTAACATGAACGCGCAGCGTTATATCCACGAAGTTCTAGAACCCCATCTTTTACCCTATCTTGACACCCTGGCAGATCCAACTTTCCAACAAGATAATGCCCGACCACATGTTGCAAGAGTCACAATAGACTTCTTTCAACATAATGATGTCACATTGTTACCATGACCACCAAGATCTCCCGACTTATCCCCAATTGAGCACGTGTGGGATATGATGGGTAGGAGATTGCTCAATTTGCAACGTCCTCCTCAGACTCTATAAACACTTCGAGAGGAGTTGGTGGTTGCCTGGAATGAGATACCACAAGAGGACATTGACCACCTGATCAGAAGCATGCCTAGGCGCGTTGGAGAATGCGTAGCACATCAGGGTGCATCCACACATTATTAAAGGTCAAAGGGCTTTAAAGCAGTGCAATCATTTTGAAATTTTTATCATTTACTTATTATACTTCATTAAGTACTTATACAAAATTTTATCAAAATAAAAACATTTAAACTGAGTGTTCGGATTGATATGTCACTTAGTATATATTATTCTCGAATCTAAAGACCAGGTATTTTTTAATATAGTGGAATCAAAAACATCACTTTTTTAGATTCGCGAATGCGACCATTTCAGAAATTTGAAAATATTTTCCAGGTTTTTCTCTTGGCCGCTAGTATTAACTGTTTTTGCCGCAAATGGTTAGGAAGTAAAAGCTATGCCCGAAATTCAAGATCCAGTTTTAGCTACTTCTGCTACCATAAACATTTCATATCCATATTTTATGGTAGTTGTGGCAATAACATTGCCATATGATTTCCCTTTTGATTATTTTATTATTTTATACTATTATTATCAGTTGCCTCGGTATATAAATCGATCAGTATAACCTTAGATATTCGTAACGCTTTTCTAATGTGTTATTATGATATATCAGCCCGTTAAATAAAAAGAATTAACTATTATGTACTACTAAGTAGCATCAATCTAAGTCAAGTTTTTAATGACCCAACACATTTGTTAATTGTTGGTGTACGTGCTACTTTAATACAGGCCTCTTTCCAAACCCATTTATCTTCCAAATATTAAGCAAAGGAAAATACCTGGGTTTGTTTAAAAATACATGAGGAAATAGAAGATCAAATTTCGGATTCATTTTTAAATGAAATGAAATTTCGTATAATCCCACATTTTGAGATTCCCGGAATATGAAACGACTCTTGCGGACTGACAGGTTGTTGGCTGGTTGAGTAGTTTAGTTCATTGAATATATTATATGGATCGCCACAAATCCTGCAACATTGCATCACTGTTTTGCTTGGCAACGCCCCATCTTGTACATTCCAAGGCAAGAGTTCCACCTTAAGGATCACAGTTGAGCGATTCTGGTCAGTACCATCTAGCGCTCAATGGGGAGTGTCACCCTGTTTCGAAATGACTTTCACCTGCGTATACGCAGGCAGTAATAATTTGTAATGCGAAACGTTGTTTGCAGCACTGCGGACGGAAAATGTAACAATAACTCTGGATGTGTTGATTTTACTACCATCGGTGGAGATCAAAGGTAATTCCAAGATAAATTAAAACACTGAAATTGAAATAAATAATTCTAATCAAAATGACAACAAAATATTAAATTGGACGTTCGAATAGACCTCATTCTTAGGTTAACTAAGCCAACATATCGGCAACGCAATTAAACCAATGCATTTAATTTCTAAAAATAATTTTTAATTTTACGGGAACTTAAGGATCAGGTATTTTTGTTAGGTAAATATAGCGAATTCATAGAACACTGGACAACAAGTTTTAGTTTTTTAATTGTATCTTGTGGGAAAAGTGCACTTCTTTGTTAATTTTGGGGCGCTGAATCCAAAAATGACAATGAAATAAAAAAATTAGTTGCGGTTTAGAAAAAAAACTTTTTATTTTTAAGGATATATTAAAAAAAGTAACAATATTCATATACTTATAAGAATAACTATATGCGCTGTCTTTTTACTGTTCTTTTATGGATCGTTTTTGGAGCATCTCTACCAAGAGTCCAACAGTAGTCTGCAACTTTCCCTGGTACCTTTTTTCCATTGTTGAAATATCCTGATGAAAACGTTCGCCGTGCTCATCACTTACGGCTCCGCAATTGTCAGGAAAAAAGTCCAGGTGTGAGTGTAGGAAATGTGTCTTAAGAGACATATTACAGCCCACCTTTTGATACGATGACAGCATATTTTTGACAAGGGTTTTATAGTTTTCAGCTTTTCTATTTCCCAAGAAATTAGTGACCACCAGACGGTAATCATTCCAAGCAGTTTTTTCAATACCTGTTAAAGTGTTTTCAAACTGTGTATCTTTCAAAATATTTCGAATCTGTGGCCCAACAAAAATACCTTCTTTAACCTTTGCCTCACTTAGTCTTGGAAATTTCTGACGCAGGTATTGAAAAGCTGACCCATCTCTATCTAATGCCTTGACAAAGTTTTTCATTAGGCCCAACTTGATATGCAGTGGTGGTAATAAAATTTTTTTCGAATCTACTAATGGCATATGCTGTACATTTTTTTGACCTGGCTGTAGGAATTGACGAACAGGCCAGTTTTGTCTGGTGTAATGAAGTGCCTTTGCCCGACTGTCCCATTCACACAAAAAACAGCAAAACTTTGTGTAGCCTAGCTGCAGCCCAAGTAAAAGTGCAACAACTTTCAAATCGCCACAAATATGCCATTGGTGCTCATCGTATTTTATGCATGTCAATAGGTACTTCATATTGTCATATGATTCTTTCATGTGAACTGCATACCCTACAGGAAGAGATGGTAAAATATTTCCAATATGCGATAACACTGCCTTTAAACTCAATGTTGAACTGTCTATAAACAATCTCCATTCTTCTGGGTTATAGTTTATATTTAAAGCCGCCAGTAAGCTGTTAATGTTACTGCAGAAAACCAAGTTATTCTCCATATTGAAAAATGGTTCTAAGTCTTTGTGGCGTTTACGAAAAACACATACCGAAACATCGTCTTCTAACAAGTTCCACTGCTGCAGTCTTGATCCAAGTAACTCTGCCTTACATTATGGAAGTTCTAAATCTCTTACAAGATCATTTAATTCTGACTGTGTTATTTTGTGCGGTTGGTGGCATGACGTGCTCGGTATGAAATCAGGATCTCTTGACGTTGATGGCATATCTTCTTCCTGACGAATCACTCGATCGCCATGATCTGATTCGCAAGTGTAGGATTCTGAGTGTTTTGGAATAGGATTTTCGTCACTGTGAGGCACAGGTCTAATCGCAGATGGTATGTTTGGGTAGTTAATAACCGATTTTTTTTTCTTGGACATACCTGTGGCTTGTCCAACACAAGGTACCATGCAAAAGTAACAAT